AAAAAATCTTTGATAAACAGACCTACATACACAGACACCGAATTTTGCTAAATTTGGCACGGAATAGCATTTAATGATGTTACTAAATTGAAGACCACGCGAGCGAAACCGCGGGTAAAAAGCTAGTATAAAATAAATTTAAATAAATAAATAAACAACAAAAACCCAACCAGACGAAAGATTTATTAAGGAATGGGTAAATTTTTAGTGAAATGAGTCATTATATCCATTCTTAAAAATTCTTATTTTCAATATACTATATTGTGCTGCCATCTTTTAATGTAGAGCAAAAAAGTCTAATCAGAATCTTATCAGAACCTTGACTTTTTAACTTAAATGCTATGTACATTAGTATTGAAAGCTTAGCACGAATGGGTAGGCTCGACCGGGTAAGGACCACGCTCTCACAGAGTACCAGCGTAAAGAGGCATTCCATCTTAGTCCTCACGGGTGACAACGCATTCGCATTTTGATTCTTTATTGAGGATAGATGTGGATGTCTATGGGTCACAACAACCACTTACCATCAGGTGGACTGTGTGCTCGTTTGTCACCCTATCTTACTAAAAAAAACGTTTATTTGAGATCAAGCGGTACTTCGAACGCGATTAATCTCACGTACGCTATGTAAATCTGAAATCCATTATTACTAGAGCATGACGGCGTATATTTTAAGTATATGTGACGCCGTTTTTCTATTTTTATGACTGTTACAACTTTTAAGCGTTCTTAGAACAAAACAATTCTTTCAGCATACTTTTGAAGGTTGCTATATTATTGTTTGCTAAATCACTTGGATACTACGTCACATACGTCACGTCATTACGTGGTAGAGCCATGATGCAGCTATATTAGTAGTATAGTTGCAGCAAGAATGGGTCGACTCCACCGGGAAAGGACCACGCTCTCACAGAATACCAGCATAAAATACAGCTTAATGCTGTTGTGTTTCGTATGGTGAGTGTAGAGAACCGGAGACCCTTTTTACTGGAAATGAGGCATTCCATCTTAGTCCTCACGGGTGACAACGCATCTGCATTTTGATTTTTATAGAGGATAGATGAAGATATCTATGGGCCGCAGCAACGACTTACCATCAGGTGGACTGTGTGCTTGTTTATCACCCTTATCCTATAAAAAAAACACAGCAATCCAGGTTTGATTCTACTGTTTACTTTGAAGAAATACAAAGGAAGTCATGTCTGAGAAAAAGTATTTCGTGTAGTCTGCCAACACGCATTGTAGTAGCGATGACGAGAAATGGCTCCATGACCCTCCAGAATTATAGGAGGCTTATGCCCAGCAGTGGGAGTATGTATTTAGGCTGTAGCTTTATTTTTTTTAATAATTTCACGTAGAGCACGAATGTAGAGCTAAATGTAGAGCTAACGACTGACTCAGACCAACTAATGAAGATAATCTGAATACTACGTACATTTAAAATTACGTCAAACACATGCTCAGCTTAATAGTAGGAATACGCAATCACCCACACATATGCACGTAAAACCATTTTGTTGATTGCAAAAGATTTGAGATAAGAAAACGTTTCACCATAATCACCACGTTTGAGTTTGTGATTGCATTGTTGGGTATTTTTACTCAGATTATGTTGCTGCACAAAACCTGGATTTTGTTTTTAGTTCCTAGCTATTCGGATGGTTATACTGCCATTAATGAGAAGAAAAACGTGAATTGGAGAGATATATTATAGTGGAAGTAGAAAATATATTAAAGGAATAAAATAAACAAAAGATTTGACTTCTAATTAAAAAAATTAAATGATGCCTTCAAAGAACTAAAACAATAAAATATTTCTCACAGAATACCATCCTAAAATAGCAGCTTAACGCTGCTGTGTTTCATATGGTGAGTGTAGAGAACTGGGGACCCTTTTTACTGGAAACGAGGCATTTCATTTTAGTCCTTACGGGTGAAAACGCATCTGCATTTTGATTCATAATCAAGAATAGATGTAGATGTCTATGGGCCACAGCAACCACTTACCATTCTGTTAGACTGTGTGCTCGTTTGTCACCCTTATCCTACATAAATGAAACATAATATTTATATATTCTTTTCGGTTCTTTATATTCGACTTTTAGTATTTATAGTTTTTTTTATTAATTTTTACTTTTTTGAATATACCAAGAAACATCACAAGCTCGAATGTCGTCTAAATATTTAGATAAAAAACTTTATTCCCTATTTTTCCACCATGGAATTTTTTTTACATTTAAATAGACTACCCCTAAAGTATATAACCTATTATAAAAACACAGTAATTGAAATTGCATACTAAAAAAAGGAAATACTTAGAAAGGAAGGAAATATTAAGAACATTCTTATTTTTTCTAAATCATCTAGAAGCAATATTTTAGGATCAAGGATATATTTACATTTGCCTTATAAAACTAAGAAGTAATTTAAAAAGATAATGGTAGCTCGAAGAGCAGTCACATTTATGATACGTTCCCGTAGTACAACATCAACTACAGAATAAATAGTTGAGGCATGCAGATATATTTACATGAGCTGTCTTAAATGAGGTCACATAAGTCTAAAGTAAATAATTGTTATTTGTTCATGTATGTTTTGAAAAGCCTAACTGCCAGTCCAAACCAGAGTGTAATGAAATGAATTGCACAATAATTATTTATATCGATGTAATGCTATATCATCAATCGATCAAAAGATATGGCATAAAAGAACAATTCTGTGTACACTCACTTTCTGTTACACGATACTTAAAGTAATGAAATGAGTCAAAGTCTATGCACTGGACGGATAAAAAGACAAATTATTGAAACTTTATCTCTTAACGTGCTGTTATTGATTCCAACGTTTATTTTTTAAATTATTCCTGAGTTTTTTTTTTTTACTGTAGGCTAATTAATCATATAATTTATCCGTCGCAATATGCTTGCTATAGCCCGAAGAAATGACTACCAATGCGAAAAAATGGTTCTAGAGTTACAGCTTCGTACTGAGTGTAGTGTACGGTGGCTCTCCACTAGATACAATGAAGATATGCAGGAAGTCGATAGATGCAATGGAGGCTAAGGGTCGGTGTTTAGTGATTAACTGAAACGGCAGTCAATTAAATATGACGATGTAAATAATGCTCTATCGAAACTAGTACATTGGTTTAACGCCAACAATTTGCTCTTAAACGGCAATAAGACAAAATGTATTAAATTTACAATACCTAATGTAAAACATTCGAAAACCAATGTGCTCTTAAATGGGGAGGAGTTGAGTCTTGTGGATACCACTGTTTTTCTCGGTATTACTATTGACGCGAAACTTCAATGGGGCCCCCATATATCTAAATTAGCAAGCAGACTTAGTTCTGCAGCATATGCTGTAAGAAAGATTAGAAGTCTCACAGATGTTGAGACAGCTAGGTTAGTGTATTTTAGTTACTTTCATAGCGTAATGTCTTATGGAATTTTGCTATGGGGTAATGCGACTGATATTGAAGCTATATTTGTTTTGCAAAAGAGAGCCGTACGGGCGATTTATAATCTAAATTGTAAAGAGTCCCTTAGAGAAAAATTTAAAGAAATAAACATATTAACTTTGGCATCGCAATATATTTATGAAAATGTAATGTATGTACATAAAAACATAAATAGCTTTAATAAGAATAAGGATGTTCATACCTTAAACACTAGGAACAAACATAAGCTTGTAATGCCACTTACAAGACTCCACAGAATTAGTAATTCATTTATGGGGCAATGTATACGCTTTTACAACAGAATCCCAGAACATGTTCAAAGTTTGTCAATAAACAAGTTTAAAAGTTTTATTAAAGAAAAACTGTACAAAAAGGGTTATTATAATATCAAGGAATACATGAGTGAAAATAACCCCTGGGAATAAGGTGATCGCCACCATGCTGGTTCTATGAAAATTCATTTAAAATTGTATAATCAAAATTATTGTTAAGTGAAATTATGTTTAAAAAAAAAAGTCCCGCTGGGTTTCTTGCTGGTTCTTCCCAGGACAGAGGTATTTTCCGAACCAGTGGTAAATAAAATAATGACTTTCAATAAGTATTATGTAATAATCCATATTGAATAAAAATCATTCTATTCTATTCTATTCTATTCTATCCTTAGTAAAGGTCTATACTCTGCAGTGGTCATCCGATCTTTATCTCTCAAGCAAAAAGCGCACCATTATTAACTCATCGATTATCAATATTTCCTTACGAATACATTTAACAAGTAGTAAAATTAAAAGATCACTTCTCTCACGTCGAGTCACATGATTGATAGCGCCATCCATAATTCAAAGTCACTTCCGAATTGCAAATATTGAGTCGAGCTTCAGCGTTATCTAAAATACCCACCCATTAATCTAAGCATTCCACTACTGAACGAACGTTTGTATACAAGTGAGACGTGTGCAGGAAATAGGCCATTTATCATTTTCTTAGCAACAATACGTAGAGCTGCTTTAAAGCCTTATTCAAGTTACTAAAATGGATTTACGCCTATAAATCATCGCCTGTTTTTTGAAGGCCAACATTTATTAAGGTTATGTTAAACAATGAATCTACTACATGATTTGCTGAATTGTTGAATGTTAACATTTTAAAAAAGGTATAGTAAATTATATATGACCTGATATGACATGCAGGTGGCTCAGGACCATGCTTTCTGGAGTTCCTTGGTGGAGCCCTATGTTCAGAAGTAGACTTGTTCAGTTCAGTTCAGAAAATGTTCAGACACTCACGTGGACATATTTTTATATATGATGCAAAGTTAACGGGCAAATGGATAATTATAAAAAGGTGATCATATATACACTACCAATGATTTTACTGATACCTTTTTAACTTTCTTGAAATTATTATTTTATTGTTTCCTATAAAAATGTGAGATTTCATAATAGACAAGAGATTCAGATGGTGTAAGCATCCTTGTGGCCATAGAAATAATTGTTATAGACTTCAAAAGAAAAGTTACTACTTATTTTTGTTACAGAAGCTGGTGGTAGGGGCAACAAATCAGCGGAATTGGAGGGGTATTCTAATTGCGCTGCTAGTAATAGTAGCGGTGTTAGCGCTAATCGTTACATCAGTGGTGCTCCTCACACCACCAGACGAAGGACCCAGGGTCAAAGGCCGACGACTAACAATCCAGGACCTGTTGACAGATGAACTGGTGCCTGTACGATGGAACGGTACATGGATATCAGGTAAAAATCGAACTTAATCCTTTATTCTCTAATTACTAAAAGTTTAGAGTTTCAAGGTAAAAGTGAATAAGTATTTTCTAGACTAATGCGTAATAATATTCTAGGGATATTGGTCAAAGACCAGCCTATTAATGACAAAAATCTGCCTACATACATCACGTCGGATACCTTTTTTTAAGATTCCGTACCCAAAGAGTAACCAACGGGACCCAATTACTAAACCTCCGCTGTCTGTCCGTCCGTCCGTCCCTCCGTCCGTCCGTCTGTCTGTCAGTGGGCTATATCCCATGATCCGTAATAGGTAGACAATTGAAATATTCACAGAATGTGTATTTTTGTTGCCGCTATAACAATAAATAATAAACATTAAAATAAATTGAAATTTAAAAAGGGCTCCTCTACTAGAAACGTGTATTACGATGGTACGGAGCCCTTAATGCGCGAGACCGACTCGCACTTGGCCGGTTATGATTTATCTTATGCGAGAAGCAAAAGTTTGCCGCGCTGCGCAAGTAAGTACAAATTGGGTTTCAAATTTTAATATATTTTTTCAATACATTCCCATTTCTATTTGATTCCGTCGAGCGAAATACCAGCGTAAAAATATACAGTAACTCCATGCTTAGTAATAAAGTTGGTAAAAATTACATGACCGCTAAGTTGACTTAGCGGTCAGCCACCGCAAAGTCTAGATTACCTAAAGATGCAAAAGTGTGAAGAGGCGAAACACATGTCGTATTGTCGTCGGTGGTGTGTCTTTCCTAGTGTAGTGGTATTGGGAGTAGTGGTGCTGGGATTAGTGGTGACGGTGATAGTGCACGCAATTGATGGAGGGCGGGAGGTGCTCTTGAAACTAGGTAAGACACATCATTTTATTTTATCGGGTGGATGTACGCGAAGTAATTTTTTACCAACTTTAATATAATGGACTTCCGCAAAGTAAGGCCTGATTCTATTAATTATCCATGCTTAGTGTTATATATGGTGAATGTAGTGAAACGGAGACTCTTTTAACTGGTAATGAGGCATTGAATTTTAGTCCTCGGGGGTGAAAACGCATCTGCATATTGATTCTTATCAAGGATATGCTAGTGTTAGTTTACCGCCCATACCAAAAAAAGGATTAATTGATTTCATGCAGTCGATTATTTTTATAATAGTATTTCCCATAGCCCCGTCTTACGAAATCCACGGAAATAAAAGGGATAATGGATTCCCTTACGCCGCCACCACACAGCAATTCATAATTATTTCCGATAGATGGCGCTGTAATCAAAAAATAATAAAAATCTATCTCGCTTACGCCTTCATTTAAAGTACTCAGACCGGCGACCAGCAACAACAATAAAGATGCAAGACAAATTCGATCGTCAATCCGCCTCTCAAATGTGATAATTAAGGCAAATTCTCCCCAAATAGGGGAAGCCCAAGTCTAACTGTGGACTTTTACGGGCTACTGACGATAAAGAAGACACTGATTAATTATTTTTCGTTGTATTATGAAAACAAATTACATTCAGTCTCTGCAAAAATGCAAATATTTCTTAAGACAATACAGAAACATCATTTATGTTGAGTGCTTACAAACGCCTGCAGGCTTTTATGTCGTCCATTTTTATACTTAAAGCGTCACAAGTAGAAAACAGAACAATACATTTCACATTTGAGTTGCTTTATAGTTGAAAAAAAATTATGTAGATATTAAAATAGCTCCAACAAATATAAACTAAATATCAAAAATTATAATAATTACATCAAAATACTTATATTACGAGTAACATTAACTTCATGCCCGTCACGATAAAGCAGTAGGTAATGACTACGGTCTTCCATTTGACACAATCCTGACACCTGTCTCGCTTATTTCACACCATTCCATCCATCCGTCCATTTACGCATAAGTGTTCGTCGGTTATGGGTAAACTTTATTTCGCAAATCCTCAATATAGCGCCAATTAGTTCGACAAAATTCCGACTGGGGCTTTACTATCCGACTTGGCAGAGTATCACTTCTGCAGAATAAATTTTCTTTGTAACTCTTTCGTCATTAATTCTTGCTATAAGAGCGCCTCCTACCGGGTCCAATTATGAATCGTTTAGATCATCCAGGGCCCATTCAAACGCACACGAATAATTTCATCAAAATCGGTCCAGCCATTTTCGGGTTTTTGCGAGGCTAACGGACAACAATTGATTTTATATAGAGAGATTATTAATAACCGGATACTATCATCGCTATTCTCATAAAATATTATTATTCTGCGATCATTTTGGACTGTTTATTTTTATAGCCCCGTTGACATAATAGATTATATTTACATTACATACTCAAGGTTAACCTTCTATCTTGCTACTGTGCCACTGGGATTGAAATTTTAAGGGCTGCCTTAACTATCTATTTTTGCTTTAAATGAATAAAATCGTGAACAAGGCAGTGACAATGTCACACTGAAGGCGATTGCAGAAAGGGCTTGCCGTATACTGAAACACTGAGTACTTGTGGTGTGTGGAGTTATAGGGTAGCGGGACACTTAATAAATGTTTTTTTTTTTTATTGATTATATTACTAAAATATCCTAACACAATGCCATAATAAAAATATATATTTTTATACGTGGTAGAGCCATGCTACAGCTATATTAGTAGTTTAGTTGCAGCAAGAATGGGTCGGCTCGACCGGGAAAGGACCACGCTCTCACAGAATACCAGCATAAAATAGCAACTTAATGCTGCTGTGTTTCGTATGGTGAGTGTAGAGAACCGGAAACCCCTTTTAGTGGAAACGAGGCATACCATCCGTCCTCACGGATGACAAAGCATCTGCATTTTGATTCTTTATTGAGGATAGATGTAGATGTCTATGAGTCACAGCAACTACTTATCATAAGGTGGACTGTGTGCTCGTTTGTCACCTTATCCTATAAAAAAATATTTCAGCTTCACAGCCTGCCCTAAAAATTCATAACTCTATTAGTAATTCCTCTGATGACAGAAATACACAAATATTTCCTTTTTTTTTTCGGAGCTAATTTAACGGTTAAAAGAATTCCTAGAGGTTCGAGGATGCAGCTTGCTAAAGCATTGTCATGCACTATTCAAAATTGCTTCACCAATAGTGAAAAGAGTTGGCAAAAATTCTTTACTTTGGCGTATTCCCATTTTCGTTTTGACAAAACAATAAATAAATCAATTACGTCTCAACTAAAAAAGACATATTTTCAAAATTTAGATTATCCGATTAATACTCATTTATCTCGACTCCATCCTAAATTCGATTTGGAAAAATTAGTTGTGTCGAAAGTAATGGATAGCGACATAAAAAATACATTCCGTATTTTATTTTCAGACGACATCCTGGCTCCCCGTAATGTCGAAACTCTTGAAGGCCTTCATCAGAAGCTTCCTTCGGTCAATCCTTCTCAAAGTTTACCACTGCCTTCCAAGACATTATATGCAACATTTTACAAATTTCTGGAAAATATACTTTAGAAGCAATTATGTGATTTTCGAATGGCTCTGCTGGCGGTATTGACGGAATTACGCCTCAACATTTAAAGATCTTCTAAGCGCTTCTGCTGGTGACGCCGGCGGGTACTTCTTAATGAAATTACAAAATTACGTAATTTTATGCTTTCTGGTAATGTTAATCCAAATTTTATTCCATTCTTATATGGGGCAAGATTATGTGCCTTCAAAAAAAGGATAACGGTATCCGTCCTATTGCCGTTGGTTCCAATTTTCGACGCTTAGCTTCAAAGTTAGCTTGCAGACACATAATCTCTAGCCTAGAAACAACACTTCAGCCTACTCAACTAGGCTTTAGCACCAGAAGTGGCTGTGAGGTAGCGGTACATGTACGCACTGAGCGTACATTTTAAACTAACTCTGATGCAGATGTTATTGAGAAGGTTGACCTAAGGAATGCTTTTAACTCTATCGATAGGGTAACCCTGCTGAAAGAAGTGGCTAACAATACCCCCGAAATTTATCATTACGTTTGGCAACGTTACAGTCAAAATACTAACTTGTTTTACGAAAACCATATTATCGATTTTGCTGTCGGTGTTCAGCAGGGTGACCCACTGGTTCCAGCACTTTTCAGTTTGGGAATTCAACCCATTATTTCAAATTTGAAATCCAAGTTAAATGTCTGGTACCTGGACGAAGGTACACTGGGAGGTACTCATATTTTTCGAAATTTTAAAAATATTAGTCTTGAAACAAATAGTAATAAATGTGAAACATTTTTTTCCAATAATTAATCCAGTTCTAACAGAGACACTTTAATTCAAAATTTCAATCATATTTCTCCAGGAATAAAAACTGTCAATACGAAATCGCTATACCTGCTAGGTGCCCCGTTGTTTTTCGATAGTATTAAACCTGTTTTAAAAACAAAATGTGATTAGTTTTTAAACCACGTTGATAAATTGTATACTTTATAGCCCCACATTTCTCTTACTATTATAAAATATCGTCTCCTTGTACCTGTAGATTTACATACTTACTCCGCTCGAGTCCAGTCTGGAAATGTTCGGATATTTTAAAAGATATTGATAATAACCTTAAAATAACTATAGAAAAAATTCTAAATTTAACTTTAAATACAACAGTCTAGACTCAAGCTACTTTACTTATAAAATTTGGTAGTATTGGTGTGAGAAATATTTCTAGCATTGCATTGCCTGCTTTCCTTGCTTCCGTGCATAGTGTCAGTGACTTATGTAACATAATTTTAAATGATAAAGTAGACCTATGTTTTGCTACGGAGGCAGGGCAGACGTGGCGAACGCTTTGTCCAGGCGAAAATATTCCAATGGAAGTTAACCAACAAAAACGGTGGGATATTCCGTTGGTACAGAGCGTGCAGAAAGATTTGTTTCATAATTTCCATAGTGACAAAGATCAGGCACGCCTTCTAGACTGTTTTGACTAAGGAATCTGGTCACTGGTTACACGCTTTACCATCAAGTAATCTTGGCACATTGTTTGATGGGAAAAGCTTGCGCATCGCCATAGGAATCCGACTAGGAGCGGCTATTTGTCAACCACATCAGTTCCCCTGTTGTATCAGCATAGGCAAGTTTGGGCTCCACGGACATTCATGTAAGAAAAGTGCTGGTAGATTTTCACGGCACGGTTCTTTGAACGATGTCATCCGCATGGCTCTTGTATCTATAAATATTCCCTCGGTTTCAGAGCCTTGTGGAATATTTAGAGACGATGGCAAGAGACCCGAGAATGAAATTGGTCCCTTGGGAGAGAGGTAAAGCCCTAGTGGGGGATGCTACTTGCATAGACACTTTGGCAGCGTCTCATCCTAGGGATACTTCGTTTAGAGCCAGTGCGGCATCAGAGGCAGCTGAACTGAGTAAATGGCACAACTATGAGCCTTGAGAGATGACTACATATTTGTGCCATTTTCTGTAGAGACTATCGGTCCGTGGGGTACACGTGGAGGGAGTAGAACTGTATGATAATTAAGTTACTAGTTTTAGTTTTTTTTTTTTATTATAGTTTTTAATATTGTACTTACTTACTTACTTATCTTCACACACAATCCCTGACGGGGTAGCCAGAGAGAACAGATCGCCAAGTGTCACGATCCTTACAAACCTCTTTCGCTTCTTTCAGATTCATTATCTTCTTCATGCATGCACGTCTTGGTATCCGAGTACTCTTGACCCTACCCTCTTCGAGCAATTTGCTCACATGGTCTTCGAAAGTTAGTCTCGGTCTACCTCGACACCTTTTAATTTTAACTTTCGCGCTATATATTTTCTTCACCATTCGGTCTTCACTCATTCGCTCAACGTGCCCAAAGCACCGAAGCACGCCCTTATCAATTTTTGTGATAAGGTCATCTTTCAAACCTGCCATATTGCGAATCTCTTCGTTTCGCTTTCGGTCGGCCATGGTAACGCCGCACCGAGGGAATATTTAATATTGTATATAATAAAATATTGCGTATTATGTTAATAAATAAATGTAAGTTTCCTAACATATTTAAATATTTTCTACTAACAAACAATGGATTAACAAAAAAAAGAAACGTCGTACATTATATTTTTTTATTTCATAAAACATAGTAAGAAAAGCCGTATGTCCAAAAAATAAATTTAATAAAATATATGCGCTGTAGACATTTTAATCTTCTGTAGACTTCGTCGTTCGAAGGTGGTTTTTGATGAACCGTAAAATGAAGAAGCCACTTAGGTGGATTGTTAGCTCATTTATTTAATGCTATAATTAAACATTATAATAAAACAAAAGAAAACTACGTAACCACGAAACAAATATATTCAAGTAATAAGCTACTCTGTAAGTATGTATAGAAAATCGGTTTTTTAAATTATTAGTTCCCTCGTAAAAAGTCTTTAAAATTATTACTGAATGCTATTATGAATATTTCAAGGGACGATTTCTTTTATTAGCACAGTCTTTTGTGCGTTTTTCATTTTGTTACGAAGCACGAACGCTATGACAGAGAATAGTAATTTTTAATTTTATAGATATATATATACGTTTTATAAAAAAGCAATATTCAAATCATTGTATTTTTTTTATTCACTACTATCTATTAAGTCCATTGCTAAACATGGGCCTACCTATAGATTGCCTCATAAGACTTGGCAGGCGGATTGGCAACCGTTAATTTTTTATTTTCCAGTTGTTATTAGGATGACGTTGCCACTCATCTTAAGAGACGCTTGTTTTTTTTATAGGATAGGGTGACAAACGAGCACACAGTCCACCTGAGTTGTCCAGTAAGTGGTTGCTGTGGCCCATAGACATATACATCTATCCTCGTTTGCGAATCAAAATGCAGATGCGTTGTCACCCGTGAGGACTAAGATGGATGTCTCTTTTCCAGTAAAAAGGGTCTCCGGTTCTCTACACTCACCATAGGAAACAGCAGTTTTAAGCTGCTATTTTACGCTGGTACTCTATAAGAGCATGGTCCTTCCCCGGTCGAGCCTACCCATTCGTCCTACAACTATACTATTAATATAGCTGCAGCATGATTCTACCACGTATGTTTACCTTTGTCGCTTCTCACGACGCTCACGGGTACGATATGGAGTAGTGGATATCCTTACACCGCCACTCCACGGTACAGCCGTGGTATAATTGAGCACAGTTTAACTTAACTATCGTATATTTTTTGCCGACTTCAAGAGGAGTTTCTCTATTCGATCGTGTTTTTCTATATATTTTACCCAATATCTTTGTCAACTGTGAACCGATTTTGATGAACATGACATCTTTTGGCTCCGTGAATGTCAAACCGCTCATCAAGCGGCGTCTTTACACGGTCGAGCCGACCCATTCGCGCTGCAACTATAATATGGCAGCAACATATGCTCTAGCATGTACGAAAAGTTATAAATAATCCACATTGTATCTCCTGTCACAATGTCATACACGGCATTTGGACAACCGTGATCATATTTTAACAACATTATATTACACCAATCAACTCGAGGCCATTTTTTTTCTGGGATGAGTTCATGAGAAATCCTGAAAGTTTTGTAATTTTTAAATGTTGATGTAATTTTTTTTATTTGGCTCATACAAATACCAAAGGCTTTGAATCTTATAAGTGATGAAAAATCTATAGGTGATGCGCCGGTTTTCTAAAATTGGTCGCCTGACAGTAGCAGCGGTGAGTTAATGGAACGACCATTACGAATTTTATCATGTAAAAAAACACGGCCACGATCAAATTCCGCGTAAGAACGTCTTACGGTGCTCAAATGAGGTGGTTCCCTTTTCCTTCCCAAAAGCATTTTGAAGGCGAGCAATGCAATCCTGCGGAGAGAGTGCACTTTTGAAATGATAAAAAAATCATCTCCCTTAAAATATTTTCGCGTTAATTCCATTTTTGCTACGGATTACGAAATTTTACTTGTGATAAAATACAACTGACAAACAACTATATATATGAGTTTCTTATGCTTAAATAATTACCAGCGCCAGGAGCCCAAAACTTTCAGGTATTTCAGTGGTGGTCCCATATTATTTAGGAGGAAAACTTCTATTTATACTGGTGGCAAAATAGGGGTTGCGGATATATTTTTCTATATATATAAAACTACGTTGAAAAATTATTACCAATTTACTACCTACTTTTTACCAGCTTGTTGCGCTACTAAGGGCCGCGGGTTTGAATCCCGCACAAAACGAGTATTTTTGTGGCCTACAAATAATTGTAGGGTCTGCATGTTTGTCCTTATCCAATGTATGTATTTAAATATGGTGGCACCACGATAAAGAAGAAACTCCTATTTTTTTCTTTCTGATGGTAAGTGATTACCACCGCCCATCAACAACTGCAACACCAGGGGAATTACAGATGCGTTTCCGGCCTTTTAAAAAGGAGTACGCTCTTTTCTTGAAGGTCCCTAAGTCGTATCGGTCTGGAAAAATCTCTGGTGGTAGTCGATTCCAGAAGGAAGTTGTGCGAGGAAGAAAACTTCTTTTAAATCGCACAGTGGTGGACCGCCCGTCATCCACATGGTATGGATGGTATCGCAAGTTTTGTCCGATCAACTCCTTAGAGCGCTCCCCGTATTAAATGCTATAAAATACGCAAAGAGATGCCAGTGCCAGTGAGTCAAGCCGATCGGAAAGAGTTCGGTCGCCGACGATTCGAACAACTCTGCGCTGGATGCGATCAAATGGAAGGAGCTGGCACTGGGGAGCCCCAGCCCAGAGATGGGAACAGTATTTTATGTGCGACTGAACCTGCGCCTAGTGTGGGGTTAACATGTTTTAAACTCAAAAGCGTTTAAAATTCAAACTGGTACTGCGATCGGCAGTTGGAAGGCTAAAAGGTTCCTAAAATGAAAAAGGCCCATGTCAAGTAGTTGATGGTTACATACTACTAAAGTAGAGGGACACATAGATATATTATTTGGATAATTCATCTACAGTAGGTATATTCAATAAGAGGATATCCGAAATAGAATTAGAACATTTGACATAGCCCAACGGATCGGCAAGCTGTATTGTTAAGGGCCCTCCACATAGCTCAAAGAACCGACAAACGATGGGGAAGAAAGGTTCTCTAGTGGCAGCCTCGTACCGTTAAGCGAAGCGCAGAGTGGCCCCCTACTAGATGGAGTGACGACCTGGTAATATCGAGTCGATGAAAGCAGTTGGCTCAGGACCGTATTTTGTAGCGTTCCTTAGAGGAAGCTATGAGTAGTGGATTTGTGCTGGGCTGTAAATTGTAATGATGGTGGTAATGATAATGAATCATCATTATCATTATATTATATTATCACTATCAGGTGATAATAATAATGTAATATTTACACTCAATAAACATCCGCATTAATTTTTAAACCTTATTGGAATTATTTAAAAAGAAACATCATAATATTAATGGTAATGGTGTTAACATGTTTATCTTTGTTTCAGGAGATGAATATATATACAGAGACGCATGGGGTGGTATCAGTCTTATGTTCGCTGCAAATCAAACTTCCAAAACACTTATGCCTAACACTACTTTTGTGAGTACGAAACTGTTATTAAATTATTACTTTTTGATAAAAGTCTAGTATTATATACGTGTGTGGGTTCGAATGTAATAATTTGTGTACATTTTGTTTTTATAAGTTAATTTTAATTTAAGGAAAATTATTATGCAATTGTATTGTTTACATATTTATTAATTTTATAAATATCTACGGAGCCTAGCGGTGGCTGAAAAGTTCCGGATGGTAATAGGTACCTAACTAGACCTTCCCAACTATCTTTCTTTCTTTAGGGTTCCGTACACAAAGGGTAACCAACGGGACGCTATTACTAAGCTTCCGCTGTCCATCCATCTGTCTGTTAGCGGGGTGTATCTCATGATCAGTAATAGGTAAACAGTTGAAATTTTCACAGAATGTGTTTTTCTGTTGCCGATATAACAACAAATAACAAAAATTAAAATAAACAATAAATTAAAGAGGGCTAGTAGGGGACTAGACACGTGTTTTACGATGGTACGGAACCCTTCAAGCACGAGTCCGGCACGCACTTGGCCGGCTTTCCTTTCTTTAACAGCCTGTACAAGTACACTGCTGGAGACACACATACACACTGTGTTGTTAGTTGCTTACGATTTGAGACGCATGTGCGTGTTTTCATGATAAGTTAAGCTGTATTTTGATTTTTTATCGGTGATTTGTGTGTCTATGGGATATAGCACCTCTTCGCCATCAGATGGACTGTATGTTCACTTGTCATTCTTTCTTTTATGAAAGAAATCTAGGTTTACCTTGCTATGATAAGTGCCGAATATGGATCTCGTCAATAGATTGCGACAAATCACGGTCCTTAGCCACCTGCATCCATCAAGTCCCTGCATGGTTCATCGTGTCGTCCCATTGAGTTAGAAGGTGGGATGCTACTATAACGGTTAATATTTTGTTCTTTGATTTCAGAGAGTATTAGAACCAGCATCTTTTTCAATTTCCGCCGACCGTCGATTTCTATTACTTGCTCAAAATCTTCACAAACTGCACCGGCATTCTTATCTCGCTCGGTACACTATCTACGATATACTGACCACGTAAGTTATACATATAGATGTGTTTAACCTCGCTTATAATATATAAAAGCTTAATAGTTAAATTATAGCCGATATATGTCCCACTGCTGGGTATGTACATGTTGGCGAACTTCACATGTCTTTCGATATTTTTAAATTTATTAGTGATGCAAGTTTCCTTATTAATACTTGTAGTATAATAATAGATGTTTCTGTATATCGTATCATCAAGAAGGTCAGAAATATCTTAAGGTCTCTGATTACGGTAAATATCTCATATATGCTAGATATAAAGATACCCAGAACGCGATATATTATACAGTATTGCGATTCCCGCACTTACAACTGTTATTGCATTTAAAGTGCTACCTAACCTTAAATGAAAACATCGTGTTAAACCTGCATGCTTGAAAAGCTTATTAAATATAGTAATAAAATAAGAACAATATAATATGACGATTTTACGTGGTAGAGCCATTTTGCAGCTATATTAATAGTATAGTTGTAGCACGAATGGGTCGGCTCGACCGGGGAAGGACCACGCTCTATACCAGCGTAAAATAGCAGCTTAATGCTGCTGTGTTTCGTATGGTGAGTATAGAGTACCGGAGACACATTTTACTGGAAAAGAGGCATTCTATCTTAGTCCTCACGGCTGACAACACATCTGCATTTTAATTCGCAAACGAAGATAGATATAGATGTCTATGGGCCACAGCAACCACTTACCATCAGGTGGACTGCGTACTCGTTTGTCACCCTTATTCTATAAAAAAATGACAAAGAAACTTGCAATTCACCTGACGGTAAGTTGTTACTGCAGTCTATTAACACCTGCAGCCACATTCAAACAAGAAAACATATATACATATACATACATATAGCGTTGTCATCTCTGAGAACTAACAATGAATGCCCCACAGTCTGTAAATGTACTAGTTCTCTATAGCTTTAACACTGGCATACAACAGCACAAGCACTGCCATCTGGCGACAGAAACAGGTAAGAGGATGGAACCTACCAAGACAGACTCCTACATATAAGTCTTACCACCAATGGACATTTATTTCAGGCACTCCCTTTTAGTGCTTAGATAATGTTCTTTGGAATAATCACTCTTTATAACATAAACTCGTTGGTATAATGTTAATATTAAAAATAGTTGTTGAAAACGAAACATATTATATTCCAGCAATTTGATCAGTGCTTTGTAAATATATCTAGAAAATTTGTTTATTAATCAAATTGTTAGCTCCCACATAAAAAGTATTTTAACTGATTATTCTGAATATTTTGAGAGGGATTTTAATTTATTAGCACATATATTTTGTGGCAAAATTTTACATTTTGTTGCGGAATACATACTAACACGATGACAGAGAATACTAATGTTAAATTTGGTAACATAGCTTTGTTTATTTTCATACGAAACATATTCAAATTGAATAGATATAATTATGCGTTCATAGGAGTACCCCTTTCCAAAGGAATACCACTTTATCCGACAATATGCCGTGTGGTGGCGGCGTTTCACCTCATTTCGTCCTTTAACAGAGCGTCGGCAATTCTTTTACTTATCAATATCTTCAATTAAAAAAACAAAACTCTTTTTGCGATTGGAAAAATCAGAGAAATAAATATTACTCTCAAACTATCGACTTCCTAATATTTTGTGCTCTAGAAAAGCTCATTGAAATCGCATATTATGCTTTTTTTGGTGCTCTTTCATATATTATTTATTTAATGATTTCACCATCGCTATCTCAGTTTTTACGAAGTACCAGCTTTGGGAAAAAGTAAAAGAATTCATTGATTTGTCTATTACAGCCCATCAAAGTCTCCTTCTTCTTCTTCTTCTTCTACCTAGCGTTTATCCCGGTTGCTCATCCCGCCCAGCGCGGGAGAACCCAGGGTCCGCTTTCCAACACTTCCTCCTCCACTTTGCCCGGTCTTCAGCGTCCCTCACAACTAGCCCATTGGCGCGCATGTCATCCTGCACGACATCAAGCCAGCGTTTCTTGGGCCGTCCTCTACTCCTGGTACCAGGTAAGGTCATGTCCAGGCATTTGTTTCCCACGTAGCTTGCTGGTCGTCGTAAGACGTGGCCGTACCAGCGGAGGCGACTTTCCTGCAGCTTGTCAGCAATGTCACGGACATGGAGGCTGCCGCGGATGTATGTATTCCGTACACGGTCTTTCCGCGTGACGCCACACATCCACCGCAGCATGTTCATCTCCGTGACATGCAACAACTGCCGGTGTCGCTCCAGCACCGGCCACGCCTCACTGCCGTACGTAAGGACAGGCCTTATGATGGTTTTATAGACCTGTCCCTTCAGCTTGACCGGCATTTTGGTGTCACAAATGACACCCGTCACCTTGCGCCATTTCGCCCAAGCCGCTGATATACGGGCCTTGATGTCGCGATCGATGTCACCGGACGCATCAAGCACAGATCCGAGGTACCTGTAGTTGTCCGTGCGCTCAACGGTGTCGTCGCCTATACGGAGAGACGTCAGATCTGTGCTGTTGCAGGCCATATACTCCGTCTTCGCCACGTTTAGCTTAAGCCCGCCGTTCTCAAGCGCCTCCCTCCATGCGTGCACGCGTCTGGTGAGCCGTCCTTTGTCCCCATCTACCAGTGCGATATCATCAGCGTACATAAGCAGCCAAGGCTGCGGCAGTTTCTGTACGCTGGCTGACAGTTCGTCTAATATCACACTGAAGAGATAGGGGCTTAAGGCGGAGCCCTGATGCACGCCTATGGTTATGGGGAAGGGGGTGGTATCATCAACAGCGGTCCTAACTATTGAATCGGAGTTGCGGTACATGTCACGTACGATTTCCACGTAGGTCTCTGGTACCAACTTCGACCGCAACGCCCACCAGATCATCTCCCTAGAAACACAGTCAAAGGCCTTCTGCAGGTCTAGGAATAAAAAATGCAGAGGCATATTCTTTTCCCTGTGCTTCTCCATGAGGATCCTTAGGGCGAATATAGGGTCCATGGTACCGCGTCCTGGTTGGAAACCGTACTGGAAGTCCGACACTGCACACTCCTGTCGGATCCTGGTGTCAATAATGCGCTCGAAGAGCTTCATGGTGTGTGACATCACCTTTATACCGCGGTAATTACCGCAATCCTGAACGGACCCTTTACACTTGTGGACCGGCGTTATTATACTAAGCCACCACTGATCGGGCATTATTCGGTCGCTCAGGATTCTATTATAAAGGCTAGTAAGAATGCACACACCACGAGCCCCCAGCGCTTTCCACGCTTCAATTGGCACCTCGTCCGGTCCGACAGCTTTCCGATTCTCCATGTGACGAAGAGATGCGAGGACCTTGTCAGGTGTAATCGGTGGCACGAGTCCATGGTTCGGGAGTTGTTCGGGAGGGTGCACTTCCCGGTGCTGAGTATTCAGCAAAACGTGGAAATAAGAGCGCCATCTCTCCTTCACCGCACGATCATCGTACAGGAGCTCACCATTAGGACCGTTGACGCTGCAGCAGCGAGTAATATCTTGCGCTGCTTTGGCCCTAGAGCGCGCCAGTTTATATATGAGCTTGTGCCCCTCAGGAGTGTCCAACTTAGCATATAATGGTTGCAAGTGGTCACGCTTGGCTCTGGCTACAGCTTTCTTGGCAGCTCTTTTCGCTGTCTTGTAAGATGCGCGATCTTCAGGAGATTTGGTCACTTGCCACGTCTTGAAGAGCGCTTTCTTCTCCCGTAATGAACCCTGGACTGTGGCGTCCCACCCAGCCCATCAAAGTCTACTGCTGTACAAATGCCTCCCTAGTAGCAGTTTTTATCCCCTCCCTTGAAGAATAAAACTACGTTTAACTTACGTGGTAGAGGCATGCTGCAACTATATTAGTAGTATAGTTGTAGCACGAATGTGTCGGATCGACCGGGAAAGGACCATACTCTTATAGAATATCAGCGTAAAATAGCAGCTTAACACTGTTTTGTTTCGTATGGTGAGTGTAGAGAACCGGAGACCTTTTTTACTGGAAAAGAGGTATTCCATCTTAGTCCTCACGGGTGACAACGCATCTGCATTTTTATTCGCAAACGAGGATAGATGTAGATGTATATGCGCCACAGCAACCACTTACCATCGTGCTCGTTTGTCACGCTGTCCTATAACTAAATAAGTAAAAAAAACTACTAAACTTTTTCTCCACATATCCGGCATAGCATCACCGTGAAGAACAGTATTAAATGATTTCTAAAGAACTTTAAGTATCGGTTTATCACCCGCTTTCAGAAGCTCTGCTATAATTTCGTCCATACTCGGCGCTTTTCCGTTCTAAAGCTCCTGGAGAGCCGTTCTAATCTCGCTCAAATTGGCGTCCGGAATATTATTGATATAGTTTCGGATAAGACTTGCCCTTTGGGTTTGTCCGTTTGTTGGCTTTACCGACAACCATAAAACTGACCATAAAACTCCTCGACCTCACTCAAAATCTCAGGTACCTTAGCGGTCTTCAACCTTGTAAATTGGCTTCTTGAGGCAGACAGATATAAGTCGAGAGTTTGGAGAATACGAGCTGTACTGAAAATATATAAATGCAATATCAACGCTAAGCTCGTGGAAACTGTCCATGTGGTCGGAGCAAAATATTACAAGACCCATCGCAGCAGTAACTCTCACCCAAAAACACTCTCTTAACATTCTTAATTTAGTAGCTGCTGCAGACGGGAAAGAGCCTACTCCTTTATAAAAGGCCAGCATCGCATCTGCAATACCCCTGGTGTTGCGGTTGTTAAAATAGGCGACTGTAAGCACTTACCATCAGGTGAGCCGCATGTTCGTTTGCCACCTCTCCTATAAAAAAAGACTGCAGTCTTCAAACGATACGACGCCTTACAGGCTATTTAACGAGCTAATTTATATACTCGTATGTATGTGACCGGTTACTGGATTGGATGATTACTGTGTCCTCCTGTATTTGGACTTCAGATATAAGTATATATATATATAACATACCAGTGTAAATTGTCTACCTTTTACTAGAGCTCTAGAATCTTCTCGTGTTACCTTAAGGTGCGCGCGTTTTCCGTTCCCAGGTCCAATAGTCGTTGGTGGAATCCAGACCTCTCCATGCTTCGGATATCCTGCCCCAGCGTTGACTGTCTATACAAGTTAATATTAAAGAGGAACTATAAAAAGTCTAATCTTCTAGTAAATGTGCTTATGTTCGATAAAGTTTTAAACTTATTTATGAAAACTCGCAGAAAAAAGCTTTTATTCTCGGAAGAAGGTTATACACTTTGTTACTATTCGGCCCGCTCGACAGAGTAACTGTGTTATGTTACGGGTACTAGGTTCGGATCTCACCCAAAGTAAAAGTAAAGGATATTTACAGCCAACGTCCACTCCATTCGTTTACGTCCTGTTTAGGCCTGCGTCCAACCGTGGCTGCACACATACCTCCTCTAATTACTAAAAGGGCTATAGGGCAAGAAATAATCCAACGCACTGCCCTAATCACGCACATAACTTCTAAATATTTATTTTTTATTTTTAGACATGCAGGTTTCCTTGCGATGTTTTCCTTCACCGCTGAGAACGTGGTAAATCAGCACTTAAAGTAGTTATGGTTACCAGATTCAATAACAGCAGGGTCGCCGGTACTGGGGACCTTTTATTATTTGTAGTTTTCTTAGAGATTAGATTATTTCAGGGATTAGATTACCATAATTGCCACGCTTGGTAAGCGGGTGGGTAACTGCAGTTTTTTTTTTACTAAGGTGTTATCAAGAAGATGTTGCTGCTCATATCTTGGGTTCGTTTCCCTCTGGTGCCTCTGACGACACCCACAGGATGATATGAGTTAGTGGATACTCTTACACCGCCACTATACGTAACCTAGGCAACAATAAATGTCCAATATTTAGTACTTTTAACTTTTTTAATATAATAGGAACATATACCGAGTCTCATACTTTTGTTTGATCAAACCAACTTTCCTTTTACTTAGCGTAACTTGGAGAGAAACAAACAAAATCAGGAAGAGTTAAGTCTATGCATTGACGATACTCAAGACATACTTATACAAGTTTATATTAAAGAGGAACTATAAAACGTCTAATCTTCTAGTAAATGTGCTTATGTTCGATAAAGTTTTAAACTTATTTATGAAAGCTCGCAGAAAAAATCTTTTATTCTAGGAAGAAGGTTATATACACTTTGTTACTATTCGGCCCGCTCGACATAGTAACTGTGTTATGCTACGGGTACTAAGTTCGGATCTCACCCAAAGTAAAAGTAAAGGATATTTACAGCCAACGTCCACTCCATTCGTTTACGTCCTGTTTAGGCCTGTGTCCAACCGTGGCTGCACACATACCTACTCTAATTACTAAAAGGGCTATAGGGCAAGAAATAATCCGACGCACTGCCCCAATCGCGCACTTCACATAACTTCTAAATATTTATTTTTTATTTTTAGACACGCAGGTTTCCTTGCGATGTTTTCCTTCACCGCTGAGAACGTGGTAAATCAGCACTTAAAGTTGCAAATAGCAATTTAGTTCAATCTATTTATATCTACAATAAATTAAGCATTAATTTTTAAAAACATATTTTTTTGTTTTTTTTTTGTGTTTTAATATCCTTGTCTCTCTGACGCTTATTGACACTCCAATCTTATCGTCCTTACATCGGACACGAATTTTGAAGGTTAATTTTTGTACCTAGTAGAGTCACACTTCAGCATAATATTACTGCCACAAAAATGAGTCGGTTCGTGAGGAAAAAAAGACGCTCACACATTTTACCAGCGTGAAATAGCAGCATAATGCTGTGTTTCGTATGGACAGTGACGAGAATCAGAGACCCTTTTTACTGGTAATGAGGCATCTTAGTCCTAAAAAGTGCAAGAAATAATTAAGAAACTTTAGCGTTAAAGCGATTAAATCTATTAAATTATTTTTATTTAGTACATTTTCTGCAGCGTCAGTTACGCTAACTGTTGCTGCAGTTGTCGATCCGTTTGCCACGATTGACGATTACGACAAATCTTCCCACAAAGGGAGAGGTCCATATTCAACAGTTGACTTTTACGTGCTGATGTGTATGAGGAGGAAACAGGAGGAATTAAAAATGACTATGAATTGGCTCCACCGGGAAAGGACCTCGCTCTCACAGAATACCAGATTAAATATACTACCCTTGCGAGCTAGTCCAACCTCAATGGACATTGCTGAAAACCAACGCTATCGCATTTCTGCTATAGCATTATGTTGAGTCAGTGCCCTTTTCAGCACCACATCACTCATGCAATCGGATCACTTTATGTCTGTTTTCTTATTTACTTTTATCTTTGATGTTCTTATGTATCATTTTATTTTCTATATCAAAACTGTATGAGTGTAAGTTGTTGAATAAATGCATGTCTATGTCTATGTCTAAATAGCAATAATAAGCTTAATACTGCTGTTTCGTATGGTGAGTTTTGGAAACTGGAAATCATTTTTACTGGTGGTAGGACTGACTTTGTGTCTAGTAGTTCGTCTTGGTAGGTAGTGGTAGTAACCTCTTATCTATTACTGGGGCCAAATAGCTGTGCTTGTAGTATTGTCGGTCTAAAGGGTTTAGAGAGCCAGTATAATTGCAGATTGTGAGAAAATCCATCTTAGTCCTCAGATGTAACGAATCTGTAGCTTACTTTGTTTGAAATCCATGGACTGCAGTAGCTACTTACCATCAGTTGAACTGTAAGTTTGTTTTTTACTTCAGTTTACTTTAAAAAACGAGGTATTCCAACATTAATTAATTATAGGTGTAAATGTATATGGCATTCTCGTTTGATATCATTATTCCATAAAAAAATCATCATCATTACAGCCAATTACAAAGCTACTGCTAAACATAAGCCTTACCCAAGGAACCACACAAAACACGGTCCAAAGTCACCTGCATCTATCGAATTCCAGCATCGGTCGCTTTAATATAAGAAAACATAACTAAAAGGTTATGTAAAATAGGATACTTAAAAAAATCTTGTTTCAGAGAATCATATCCACTCACACCTCTGCCAAACGAAGTTGGCGGAGGAGTGATCACAGAAGGGCCGTTATTGCTCCTAGCTATGTGGACTCCTAAAGGACATGGGTTGATAACTGTCATGGATTACGACATTTACTATAGACCAGCGCCTCGTTCTTCTACCGGCTACCGAGTAACCGACACAGGAATTCCAGGAACAATTTATAATGGTGTTCCCGATTGGCTTTATGAAGGTGAGATTTAATAAATAATACAACAATTTAGCTGACTCATAGATAACTGAAGCTTAAAAAAACTTTTAGTTATTTATGGTTTTTGAAAAAAAAAATACAAACAAACGAATAACTTCGTAACCACTCGCTCTTTCATTCAGGTAGAAAGGTTCAGTGGTAAGCGCATTTGTACTTTACATTTGCTAAATGCTCGATGTATTTCCGTTCTTTTTAGAGAAAAACCTTGAAAGGATAAACGGAACTCTTTTAGGAGTACTTTTTTGTATGTCTGTTCGTCTGTCAAGACCCTTTTTCTCGGGAACTGGTGTAGGTATAGAGATGAAATTAATATAAAATCTATGGTCCCCTGGTAAACACAATCAAAAGACACGGCCAATTAAGTCACATAATATTTTGATGTTTGAAAACTCACTCATCACTGAGTACTCCCAGTTGACCTACAATCATTAAATTCGACAAAAACCAAGATCTCATAATACAAATAAAGGACAAATCCGTAAACCATTATTTTTATATATTTCTTTGTTATTACAATATTACATTTGCGGTAGGAGCTACGACTGTGACGTAAACCAATGTGTGAGATAACATACTTTTCCTTGCAAAGTTAAGTTTGTTTTTCGGTCCGACATTCCTTTTTCTCGGAGGAATATTCAGCGCTTACCTAACTTATAATTTATGAATTTCAGTAATTTAATTATTTTGGTGATAGTGAATAGGTACTTACGTAACTGCTTGTAGTATTCTACGTACCTATTGTACAAAAATGAATGTCTATTAACTTTCTTATTTAACGGCATTTGTTTATCGGTATTGTAGAGACACTCGATTCCGTGGATGGATAAACTATCTACATACATAGTTAAGTTTATACGAGGCCGTTAGGGTGCAAAACCTACTCGCACTTGTGGTTTTTTTTAACTATAACATTAACATGAAGTGTATTCAAGGAAGAACTAATTGAAGCCCTTAGAGTCCAACCATGCTTACGTGATCCCAGACCATGCATAAGACCCACATAGCAAATATAACAAAATTTATAAAAACACAATGCTTTCAAAACATTGCTCTCTAAATGTTTTGTTAATAAATATATGGAATTTGCTAGATAAATATAAAATTAGAAAAACTTGAAAATATAAAAATTAAAATTAGAAAATTTGAAACAACCAAAAAGGCTCCAATCATCAACATATTAAGTAAATAAAATGTTTGTTTTTCTAATGCAAGAAACCATAATTTAAAATTTAAAATTTTGTACGGCCAACTTCAATATAAGCGACTTCAATATAGGTTATTTAAGAATAACTCAATAACCAGTGGTCTGACCTTGATCAAATTCATATGGGACCACGAGAAGTATCAGCTTTCATATAAAAAAAGAATTATCGAAATCGGTTCGCCCAGTACAAAGTTATGAGGTAACACACATAAAAAAACATACAGTCGAATTGAGTACCGTCTCCTTTTTGGAAGTCGGCAGAAAATGTGAACTCTTGTGGTCAAGCTTTTGTACAGAAATTGCGTTTGTTGGAATTTTGGTGTTTCACTAGATTTTTTTGAACAAAGATCTGCAGGACAGTTAAATATTTACCCAGATCAAAAATGAAACCTTACTAAAGCAGTGAAAACGCGACGTAACATTTTATGTTCTTAAATAACGCTGGTAGTAATTGCTAGTAATAACATAAAAGTTAAATATGTTAGCCAAAGTCTTTAAGGCAAGTTTTTCCCAAGACACACACTAAGTTTAATCTTGTTTACGTACCAAGTAAAATCAATTAAATTTTATTGCTATGGCCTAAGTTGTCATAAGAAAATAACATTTGTGTCAGTGGAATGACAGATTTTCATTAAAACATGGTTTTGATGTGATAGGGGCTCGTAATAAAATAAAGCTCAACATTAGGCTACTTGCTAGTCTACTTGTAGTTGCTAGTAGCTAGGACGTTTGTGCTCGTGCAATCTATGTTTGTAAACTGCCTCCACGATACAGGAGAAAATCCTAGTGTGGGGGTAACGTTTAAAAAAAATAAGAGTTGTTCAAGGCAACAAATCAATTAAGAATTATGGAATTTTTTCTATTAAAATGTTCTTGATGTAATGGCAATGTTACCGATAATACTTCTAAATTAAAATAAACTGCGACGGCCAAACGTAGCAACCCTATGGAAAGTATCATCTATGAGGCAATCTATGGGGGAGTCCCATGTTTTCAGCAGTGGACTTGAATTAATCGATGAGACCATCATGTTAATTCAAAAATAAAACAATTGAGACTGATACATTTTTAAATCATTTATAAAGACACCCACAATACTATTATTAAAGATATAATGCTGCCAGTCAGCTGAGGAAACGTCTTTTGTTACTTTTAAACAATCAATAATACTTTAGCAAATTTTTTCACTTTACAACTATCAGTTCAAAAAGGGATCTTCTATCTATGGAGGCGCAATACGAATCAGTTATTTGATATGCGACGTATGCTAATGGCCCCTTTTTGCTCCTTTTCAACTGTTCTCGTTGAGTAACAGTATAGTTTTTCCTTAAACATTTTCATGGGATAATCGTGTTTTTATTTTTATCTAAAACGTGAATTTAGGTAGAAGAATAAAGTTTTTAATTTCTTCTGATGTCTTAATACTTTTAAACCATAATACTTTTAGAACTTATCTCTATCTTTTCACGTGATGAAAATTGACCTTCATTTCTTTTCTTTTTTTTATTAATTCTAGTAAATATACATATGCTAACGTCTTCATTTTTTATTGGTAACGGTTCAACTAATAAATAGGCCCGGTTTGGAATAGTAAAATTTTAATTCCATTATTGATATGTATCCCAAAAGGAATACCGATGAATCCTTCATGGTTGGACCACTTCAAGAAAATTTCGACAAATTTTTTCGTCCAATGCCTAAGAATCAAAACACAAAAATCTGCATTCAGTGAGCCGTATTGAAAACTCTGCCATTCAATGAACTACAGTGAAAACTATTGGTCTGACCTTGATCAAATTCATATGGGAACACACGAGACGTATCAGCTTTTATATAAAAAAAGAATCATCGAAATCGGTTCATCCAGTAAAAAGTTATGAGGTAAACACAAAAAAACAAAAAAAATACAGTCGAATTGAGTACCGTCTCTTTTTTGGAAGTCGGCAGAAAACACACATACAGAGTAGACACAAACATATTAAGTATATAGATATTAGTTCGAACAGTGGTGTGGTTTATAAAATATAATCCATAGACCCAAGAAATAAAACTTCAAAACAAATGAGTTACATAAAAGATTATATACGAACGAAATCGGGGTCACGGCTAGTTACAAATAAAAGTGGTAAACAACGCGTTATGAACAAAAATATAAACCATTATGATTATGATAATGGCTTGTTATTTTAAGGTCTTAGCTTCTATCGGCGAAGCTGACTTCTTTATCTTACAATGTCTTCATAATAATAATGTATTTTTATTTTTTATTCTTGATTGAATTCTTTTCACTATCCTTCGTTTTTTTCCTTTATCTTGACTTCTATAATTTTAATAATAAACATCAATAAATGAAACGATTCAACTTTTTCTACCGACTTCAAAAAGGAAGACGTACTCAATTCGACTGTATGTATTTTATGTGTTACCTCATAACTTTTTTATGTGAACGTTTCTACGTGGTAGAGCCATGCTGCAGCTGTATTATGGTTGTAGCACGAATGGGTCGGCTCGACCGGGGAAGGACCACGCTCTCACAGAATACCAGCGTAAAATAGCAGCTTAACGCTGCTGTGTTTCGTATGGTGAGTGTAGAGAACCGGCGACCCTTTTTACTGGCAAAGAGGCATTCCATCTTAGTCCTCACGGGTGACAACGCATCTGCATCTTGAGTCTTTATTGAGGATAGATGTCTATGGGTCACAGTAACCACTTACCATCAGGTGGACTGTGTGCTCGTTTGTCACCCGATCCTATAAAAAAAAACCGATTTCAATTATTCTTTTTTTTATTTGAAGGCAGGTGCTTCTCATCTGGTCCCATATAAATTAAATCAAGGTCTAATCAATAGTTTTTGAATTATCCTTAATAATTTGTATTGAACTCGGTTGTACAAATTTTTTTTTAATTTTATTACTTGTAACTTTCGAGTCATTATTTGTTACAGAACAAATATTAAAGGCTCGTACAGCTCTGTGGATGTCAGCGGATGGACATATGGTGCTTTATGCAACATTCAATGACAGTCTCGTACACGAGCAAAGATTTCCCTGGTATGGAGCCGCATTAGATACTGATGATCCATCGAAGGTAAGTTGTTTTGGGAAATACTATAAGACACATTTTTTTTATAGTTTAAAAATGAATTCTAGCAACAATTTTGATTAGTTAAGTCATATTTTTTTTTTGTAAATGTTGTATAACTAAAATAGGTAATATAATTCGGGTCGTAGGACATATAATATAAAAATATTAATCTATAGTATATATGGTATTATAAAGTCTTGACCAGAATAAAAAAAATGTTAGAATTAAAACTCGGCAACAATATCATAATATATATATGAGAAATAATTACAGACAATTATTTGCTAAATAAGAATTTAGAAAGTACTTTTTGATATACAATTTTTTTATTGAGTAATCTTATTTATGGTATTATTTTTATAGGATAGGGTTACAAACGAGCACCTCCACCTGATGGTAAGTGGTTGATGTGACCCATAGACATCTACATCTATCCACAATAAAGAATCAAAATGCTGATGCGTAGTCACCCGAGAGGACGCATCTGCATTTTGATTCTTCATTTTATTCCCGTGAGGAGCTAGAATGCCTCTTTTCCAGTAAAAAGGGCCTCCGGTTCTCTACACTCACCATACGAAACACAGCAGTGTAAAGCTGGTATTTTTTCTACCAGAGCTAGTGTAGACACACGTAATCATATTCCCCAGTCTTTACTCCAAATCATTTTGTTTCTGTCGTATCTTTTTTTTAATTTATCATTACTCATAAAATTAAATTAATTTGTAGGATAATTGGTTTGAACTTTCTATTACTCATACAATAGTTTGATATTTAAATTGGTTTTGAATAGACTTTGCACAAAGTGTTACTTTTCTCTAAAATCATATGAAATATTTGTCGTTAAAACGTTTATTATTTCCAGACGTATCCCGAGATAAGAAGCGTGAGATATCCTAAGCCGGGTACGAACAATCCAACGGTAAAATTAACCGTCGCGGATATTGCCGATCCGAAACATATTCGAACGAGGCATCTAACTCCACCCAAAGTAATCCTCGAAGAAGGGTAAGAAATGTTGAAAGAATTTTATTAACAATAGGTTATTTTTGTTTTTTTTTTAACTAGATGAAAGCGATTCGCGCTTTTCCGATTGAACTAGCCGCGCATCAAAGGTGTGAGGCGACTGGTACAGCAACCGTCAGTCCACCTGCCTAACGTGACGATTAAGGCAAATTCTCCCCGAGATGAAAGAAAGCCGAATGCGAAAATTTGAAAGAGAAATCCCGATGCCTAGCTGTGAACTTTTACGGGCTGATGAAGAAAATTAAGAACATCAGAAAAATTCATATTAAAATTACATGTTTAACTTGAATAACCAAAACGAAAATATCCAAAAATTTGTCAAATGTAGAAACTTGAAATTTGAAAAAATTCACATAATACATTCTTGATAATTTTCGTAGCTCACCGAGTGGTGACGGCGAAAGAGAATCCATTCAATTCCACCCCATGGGTTTATGAAGAATGTAATTATAGGGAGCGCCGGAAAGATTATACCGATTTCCAATAGATGGCGGTGAACGCATTCTGTTTACGCCAGACATCTGGTACCTACTACAATCACCAAGTCATGCGTCTTGTACCCATTAAGTAAAAAAGGAAAAATAAATGTTTTGTAAATCGTGTATTATTCTGTAAACGATAATTTATTAGCAATATTTTGTATGTATCTTATTCTTTCTTCTGCTAAAAGCTAAATCTTCCCTTCAGCGCAAGAGGTTCATGTCCAGTGATGAATTCTTACGAGCTGATGAATAAGGAGAAACCTTGAAATGCAGATTCATTTAATTTATTTTCTGCGTTCATCTTATTTTCTCCAGAATCGTTGTAGCCCACACGCTAAACACTCTCTGTAAATTTCCCAGTACGCGAGCAACCTGGGTTCGATCCCCACCGGCACCAAAGTAATTCTTAATTGCAATTTTAAGTGCTGATTTACCAAGTTCTTGGCGAAGAAGAAAAACACCGTGAGAAATCCTGCATGTCTGAGAAATCGAAAAAGAATATTTCGAAGTCATGTGAATTGCGCGAACACATATTGGGGCAGCGCGGTGGACACTTCCTTGCTCTTAAACCCTCTCAGAAATAAGGAGAGGCCTGTGGTCGGGTGTGGGACGCATAAAGGTAGTAACTTAACTTATTTTGTCCGTAGAGATTACTACTTCACGAGTGCGCAGTGGGTATCACTAACGGAGGTTTGCGTCGTTTGGTTAACCCGGATACAGAATCTATCCGTCGTGTCCGTCTGTAAAAGTCCCATGTGGTTTTGCCAAGAAGTAAGTTTACGTAATAAGTAATTAAGAACACACAATCGGACGTGGTCACGAAAAATGCATAATAATCCATCACTCCAATTCAACTTTTGGTTGTTTTAAGAGGCGATTAAAGGGTATGACGGAAAAATATCATGTCTGTCAATAGATCGTACGTAGTAGAGCCATGCTGCAGTTATATTAGTAGTATAATTGTAGCACGAATGGGTCGGCTCGATCGGGGAAGGACCACGCTCTCACAGAATACCAGCATAAAATAGCAGCTTAACACTGCTGTGTTTCGAATGGTGAGTGTAGAGAAACGGAGACCCTTTTTACTGGAAAAGAGGCATTCCATCTTAGTCCTCACGGGTGACAACGCTTCTGCATTTTGATTCGCAAACGAGCATAGATGTAGATGTCTATGAGCCACAGCAACCACTTGGAGCCAGGTGGACTGTGTGCTCGTTTGTCATCCTATCCTGTCATTATTGACACCATCAGACGTTAAATTTTCAGCCCGGTGAATGGCAATTGCGTCATGCGAGACGTACTTTTAAGATTGGACGTTCTAAGCTTAGATCGATATTTTGTAATGATGCATTGCTTCGATTTACTTTTAATCTGTACCCGAATTCGGCGGGATGCAAAAGGATAATTTTATATTGATGGTGATGATAATTTCTGTAGTTGTGTGTGATTGGTACATGTATGTCCTTCACTAAGTCCGTCCGTACTTTCTAAACTTGTCCCCATATTTTGATAACGATCTCCCAATCGACTAGTTATTAATCTGCAAGTAACATAGAATATATTAAGTCCGAATAAAATTAATATGGCGGATATGCCACAAGAACTTCCAACTTAACAAATAATTTATAAGCAAATTAAATGTTCCTGTATAATATGACGTTTTCATTACACGTTAATGAGAACATTCCAAATATTTGTAAATCAAGTTTTTATTTTATATTATTTAGATCACTGCAATTACGTTATTTGTTTTTTATTAATAATTTATTTATGCTTGCTGCAGAGTGTTTGCTGGAATTATTTTTAGAATTTTGTCTTATGATTTTCCAATGTTAAAACAAGTGTGGAGTGGATACTATTTGTGTAGTTATCCATTTTTTTAAAGAATAAAGGTGAGTGACAAATGAGCACATGGTCAACCTGCTGCTGTTGCCCATACACATCCACATGCTACAACCATAATATGGATACAGCGTGGCTCTATCACGTATAAAATAATAAACTATTTACATCATACTATGACCAAAATAAATATATCGGTTATTTTCGAACATCGTTAATCACTCATACAAGCTAAAAAACTGTTAAATTACTATTAAATTGATTATAAAAATGAGAATTTTCTGTTACGTTTTAGAAACAAGCTGCAGTCGTAGATTTATATGGCTGCAGCACTAATAACTTTATAATATATTAAATGAGGCTTTGTTCTCTTTCTAGAAAAAATAGCAGTATTATTACAGTAGTATAGTAAATGTCGAGTACCGGAGACTTTAATTGCATCATTATTTGTATTATGACTACAGCAAATGTATACGTGGTAGAACCATATTGCAGCTATATTAGTAGTATAGTTGTAGCACGAATGGGTCGGTTCGACCGGGGAAGGGCCACGCTCTCACAGAATACCAGTGTAAAATAGCAGCTTAACACTGCTGTGTATTGTCTGGTGAGTGTAGAGAATCGGAGACCCTTTATACTTTAAACGAGACATTCCATCTTAGTCCTCACGGGTGACGACGCATCTGAATTTTGATTCTTTGTTGAGGATAAATGTAGATAGATGTCTATAGGTTACAGCAACCACTTAACATCAGGTGGACTATGTGCTTGTTTGTCACCCTATCCTATAGAAAAAAAGCAAGAAATAGCTAGCTCGACCAGGAAAATCCCATGGTGTAACAAAATATTTTTGAAGAAATATTTTGTTACACTACTTTAAATTTCCTCTACACATTTACCTTTTTCGTTGCATTATTAATGTCTGGTTTTTAATTCTTCTGCAATATCAAGGTGTATAGGATATCATCCGGAACAGAAAGTTGGGTTGAGTCTGCCCCGGCGCCACTATGGTCCGCTGGTGGGGGAGCCCTCGTCACGCTGGCTCCTGTAAGAGACGGGCCAGCAGGCTTGTTCCGGCATATTGTTAGGACAGAACACAATGCTCACGGCCCGAGAGCCTTACCGCTGACGCATGGCAGCTTTGACGTGGTTCGCTTGCTGGCTTGGGATCATTCAAACCAACATATGTAAGTAAGGACTCATGATATACTGACCTTAAATTGTTTGATATTATTCGCAGTATTCATAAATTTTTGAAAAGATTTAAACACACACAGTCCTGATAAGATTCTTGCTAGTTCTTCCAAGGACAGAAAATGACATTTAACAAGTATTAAATAAAACTAATTTTACGGATTTTATCGCGTATATTAACTTATTTTATATTCCCGACGTTTCGAACACTTTACAGGTCACGGGGGGGTGTGAGGTGTATAACGTCCCAATGTCATAGTTAACCACGGCTACCTCCAGATTAAAAATTATAAATTTTTGTTCCGATCTAATTTTATTTAATTAATTTTGGTCTTATTTAAATGTGTAGTGTTCGCGTAAATATAAGAAATAAAAAGTATTATTTCATAATTTATGTAAAAGAAAAGTTGATTTCATTGGGAGATAAAGAAAAAAATTAATTCTGTATTAATACAGTTGCGCTAAATAATACTGTTCGCGCCAAACACTTTCAAGGAACGAACGCGAGAGGGCGTGCGGCTCAGTGTCATACCGGTTTGACATTCGGTCGTGCGTAAAACGCCCAAGGGCTGGCAGTCGTCTTTAATCGGTGTCGACGTGAGCACGCGGTCCATTCTGTTAGAGAACTCGGAATAATTAGGTGCGGCCCGTAAATATACGGTCTAGGATTTGTGACGCGCATTCCTACTGGAGAGCTTCCCGGGACTTATTGTGTCTGACTCAAAACCTGCATAAGTGCATTCGGCAATATTAGATAGTGCGGCCTCTGATATTCTAGAATTAACTATTGCTACGCGAAACGGTAGTGACCTTTGACCCTTTAAACTCCGTGTGCGTTTGTGCGGTAACCATTATACCCAGCGATAGTTAGTGGCTTCTGTAAGTTAGTAAATCGTACGATAGAGTTAAGTGACTGTCATCGTGACGAAAGAAGAAAGTGACTGTGGACAACCTCGAAAGGCGCCCTCAAGTTGGAGCGGTGTCGACGCTAGGGCTGCTGCCGACGGCCAAGGTCTAGGTTCAATCACCATCAGTCACACCCAGCTACACACCACATCACCATTATTTCCTTGCACTACACAACCACATGCGACCTGACCGACTCCGGAGGGACCAGTCGCCTTGGATAGGTAAGTAAGCTTCATCCAAATTCCTTCCGGTCGACTGGCCGTAGTATAACGCTCCCCCATATATTTTAATGTAATTAGGAATTTCCACGTGGCCACATTAAGGACCGACCTACGTCTGTTCGGGAAGTCTTCAGCTCATGGGCCCCTGAAGATTGGATCCTTTAAGGGAGCAGCCGTAGGCCGTAACAAACTGGTAGCAGAGCGCGGTTCCGGGTTCGATTCCCGGTCGATCCCGACCATAGTGTTTGATAAACATTAAACAATTCTGGTAGCAGGGAGCGTTGGTTTGATTGGTTTAACTTGTATCTACAATCACGCCCGTCCGTAATACGTAAAAATATTTTTTTTGTACGTAATAATAGAATTATTTCCCTTTGTTCTTTGTTGCTTGCCTTTTTTTGGTTAGTGGGTAGATTTGAAAAGCCGCGCCCTAGGTTGCGCAAGCGGGAGTTTTCTAGAGATATACGTCATGTAGGTAGATGGTTATTTTTACGTAATCGGTTAATTATCGTTGTCGGATAGTTGTAGAGGATTACTTATCGAAGGGTCGATTTCCGAGCTAGGCATTTTTTGTTGATCGACCGTGATGTGTATCTTCGTTTATACTGTAAGTTGTATTTGAACTAAAGAGTAGTAATTGTATTTGCGCAATTTGAATTTAACTTGATTTGATCGCACTAGTATTTGTTGTTTGTTAATTTGATTTGTGTCTTTTCTTTTGTGCTAACTTGTATTTGGTTGATACGTAGTAATTCGTATTTGTGTAATTTCTATTCAACGCGATTTGATAGGAACCGCATTTATTAACTGTTAATTTTTTGTTGTATTTTTTATTTGTTATCTTTGTAATTTGTGCTCGAGCCGCGTCGTAATTTGTATTTAGTAGTGATATCATCGCCCAAGCTACTAATCCGTTGCCTACGGAATGAGTTACGCTGGGCCACAAGCGCCCATGCTTTGATAGGTCGACCGGATAGGGTTCATAACTTGATGAAGCGGTTCGAGCAGGTGGATGCTCGAAGGGCCGCAGTGGAGGAGGCTTACGCTGAGCTCGAGGATTCGGATGTGGAGAAGGGAGTCCTGGACTCTTGCTTCGCGGACTATGAGCAGTTCTTGTGGCTCACGGACGAGTTGATCGAGGCTGAAGGCAGGTATGCCGAGGAGGCGCGTGAAGCTCGGATGAGTGACCTGTCCGAGTCCTCTCTGAAGCAGCTTCAGCCGGAGCTGTTGGGACGACTCCCAACTCTGGACCTGCCAAAGTTCTCCGGGGTCCTTTCCGAATGGCTGACCTTCGTTGGTCTTTTCGACAGCCTAGTGGACGCCCGGAGTGACTTGACCCCGAGCCAAAAGATGGCGTACCTCCTGGCCTCACTGGAGGGGGAGGCCCTGGGGGTCGTCGGCCACTTGAGATTGTCGGACGACGCCTACCAGACTGCTCGGGACCTCCTAGCCAGAAGATACGCCAACGTCCGGCGATTTGCAAACGAACAGGTTAAGCAGCTTCTAAGCCTCCCGCTGCTTAGTGACCGGGCCAGACTGCGTCCGGACCTGTTGGATCCAGTCTTGGTGGCCTGTAATACGTTGAGGCGGCTGGGTTTACCAGTGGGCGAATGGGCTTTTTTGTTGCTCCGTATCGTGCTGTCCCGTCTACCTCTCGACCTTCGAATCCATTTTGAGGAGAGGTACGGCGGGGACGAGGCCTCCTATACTCCGCCCTTCTATGACCTGCTGCGGTTTTTGGAGGAGCAGTGCCGGCAGATAGAGAGCGCGGCGGGCACCGTTGACGACTTACGAGCCGTGCCCAGTGAGAGGCTGAATCCTCCAGGCAAGTCGTCGTCAACCCCCCCCTGCTCCTATTGTCGAGCATCTGATCATCGGGTAACCTCGTGCCCGAAATTATTAGGTAAGCCGGTTCCAGCGAGGCGAACTATCGCCAAGGAGCGCCGCTGGTGCTGCTCGTGTTTGGGAGGACACCTCCAGCGAGATTGTCCGCATCGGCGGCCCTGTCTGCATTGCCAGGGCAATCATCATGCCGTTTTGTGCCTGAGTGCAAACGGCGTCTCCTCTTGGGGCTCTGCCAGGCCCTCGACCCCCACGGGCGGGGGCGCTCAGCCACGCCCTCTGCCGGGCGACACTCGGCGCCCGCCGGCCAGCCATCAGGCCCCTAAGTTTGAAAGGGATCCCTCCCCCGACCAGTCGGGGGGTAATTCCCCCAGGGGCGGGGGTGTCATCACCCCCCCTAAGCGTGTGGAGAGGAACTTCACGGCCACTCATCGGTCCGCTGGACCCTTCTCACTCCCGTTAGCTGAGTGGCCGTGACTGGTGTACCACTGTTCCCCATTTGATGGAGGCGGCCCTGGCTAGCTGCCGCCTTAGCTCCCACCACGGCCACCTCCACTGAGCCTTAAGCCGTCAACAGTCCACTTGTCAAAATGTTCTGTTGCCGACGGCCTCAGTGAAGGCGTACAACCCGAGTGGCGACTGTTAGCGATCTCGGGTTCACGCCATGTGGCCTCCACTTGGTGGTGGGAAGATTAGGGCCCCTCTGGAGCGTTGAATCACGCTGTCAAGGGGTATTAGATTTGGTTTGGTCGAGCGCTTAGTCAAAAAATACTTGAATTAAGATTAAAAACTGCTTTGGGCTTTCCGCGAAATTTTCCTATTTGTAGCGGTTTAAATTAAAAGAATTGAATTTAATCTACTCCTTTAAATGCTACTGTATGTGTTTTGTAAATATATTTAATCACTGTATTTGATTGTTGCGTCTGTTTGCCGAAAGGAAAATTTGAATTCATCTGAAAGTGAATGGCGCACTATTTGAAAAATTATGTTTATGTTTATGATAGTGTTTAATCATTTTGCTTTGCGAAGAAGTAGGGCTGTCCCTTACGTTATTGTTTTGTTTAATTTGCAAGTTGACTTATGCGCCTCGGTGATTAATTTGGTTGAATTAATTCTGTAGTTGAACATTGATGATTTTGAAAAATTAGTTGAAATATGAGCATAGGACTATTTGTCTAACAGGCTAGCTAGTTTTGGAGATTATCAGATTGAAATCAGCTGCCGCACTATTTTAGTAAATGATAATATGGTGGGTGGCCTGCCTAGGCCTACTTGTTGAAACTTCATACTAGGGACTATCTGTGCGTTTCGTTCGGCTCTCCACAGACGACGTTCATGTGGAATTTGTGGGTGCTCTCTGCACTGAAGCTTAGGAGGCCGCTCGGGGCCGCTTCGTGTCGCGTCGCTGTTTGCAGACCTGATCCGGTCGGATTGCGGAACTAATCGTAAGGGCACAGATAGGTTTTGAAAGAGGTCGTCGGACTTCTGTCCAGTACAGGACTTGTTAAAGTGCTGCGATGCCCAGGAGGGGCATCAAGTGGAGGCTGACCCTCCAACTTGCGCTGGTTAGGGTTGCAAGATCTGATGGGGTGCCTAAGGTGGCCTAGTTTGGTTGTAGATTCGGTCTTGCAACTTGCCTTCGCGACCTTGTCCCGCTGACCGGTTTGCTCGCGGACCTAAATCCTTATGTCCGGGACGGGGGTTTGTTCGCGCCAAACACTTTCAAGGAACGAACGCGAGAGGGCGTGCGGCTCAGTGTCATACCGGTTTGACATTCGGTCGTGCGTAAAACGCCCAAGGGCTGGCAGTCGTCTTTAATCGGTGCTGACGTGAGCACGCGGTCCATTCTGTTAGGGAACTCGGAATAATGAGGTGCGGCCCGTAAATATACGGTCTAGGATTTGTGACGCGCATTCCTACTGGAGAGCTTCCCGGGACTTATTGTGTCTGACTCAAAACCTGCATAAGTGCATTCGGCAATATTAGATAGTGCGGCCTCTGATATTCTAGAATTAACTATTGCTACGCGAAACGGTAGTGACCTTTGACCCTTTAAACTCCGTGTGCGTTTGTGCGGTAACCATTATACCCAGCGATAGTTAGTGGCTTCTGTAAGTTAGTAAATCGTACGATAGAGTTAAGTGACTGTCATCGTGACGAAAGAAGAAAGTGACTGTGGACAACCTCGAAAGGCGCCCTCAAGTTGGAGCGGTGTCGACGCTAGGGCTGCTGCCGACGGCCAAGGTCTAGGTTCAATCACCATCAGTCACACCCAGCTACACACCACATCACCATTCTTTCCTTGCACTACACAACCACATGCGACCTGACCGACTCCGGAGGGACCAGTCGCCTTGGATAGGTAAGTAAGCTTCATCCAAATTCCTTCCGGTCGACTGGCCGTAGTATAACGCTCCCCCATATATTTTAATGTAATTAGGAATTTCCACGTGGCCACATTAAGGCCCGACCTACGTCTGTTCGGGAAGTCTTCAGCTCATGGGCCCCTGAAGATTGGATCCTTTAAGGGAGCAGCCGTAGGCCGTAACAAATACAAACTTCCATAAGACATAATATAACGTATTAGTCGCTGTAGGGATTTCCAAAGTACAATTACAGCCCGCAGCTCGATGCCAAACATTTATCTATAAATGAAGCCTTTGTTTAACAGTGGACTTTGATAAGCTGACTTGGATTTTTGCCATAGTTGCAACACTTTGTAGACGGGTTGGCAACCGTAGTTTTTTAATATTTTTATATATAGCATATGCCTATATACATCTACGTTGAATTTTGATATCCTATTACTACTCAATGATATATTTCACATCAAGGAGATACTGCTACCCATCTCCTGTTTTATTTCGATTTGAAATCTTAGAAAGGCTTATTTCAGCAGTGGATATAAATAATCTGTTGATAATGACAAAATTACCAAATTTCCTTAATTTTGTTTATAACATATTTGTATCATGATTACATATTTGTTACACACCTTTGTTACCCTTAAATTGACTCCACTTGTATATTTTTAACAAAAGTAATGATTAATATATAATAAAAGAAAAACTGGTTTCAATAGCTGTATTTTAAGAGATAAAAGAGACCTTTGTAATTCATGAAGTATAAAATGTAGAAGTTAAATTACTATGCGGCTTTAATGTCCCGTGATAAACGTTTCTGTGAATATTAAAGTATGACAAAATGCTTTGTACTGTTTTGTAACATAGGTTTTTCTGCAGATCCAGTGAAATAGCCCCTAGGGAAGATTAAAGGTATGCGTGTTGAAAACGACTGTAGTTTCTTTGTCATTTAGTAATTCTGTAAATGGGCCATTGTTCTTTGTATCGTTAGAGATAATAATAACTGGTGTAATACGAAACAAAGGATATGAATTTCGTATTTATGCCATAAGTCAATATCTTTTACGATTTTCATATGAAAGACTAGCTGTTCCTGCGACTTCGTCAGCGTGGAATTTATTACGATTTACGGATTTTATTGCGCGGAACACTAATTATATTTCTAAAATATAATTTGCCTAAATTACGCCTTATAACATTTCAGACATTTCGGTGAGCCGGAACAAACAAACAAACAGACAGACAAAACAATTTTGAATTGTTATTTTTTGTTATAAATACCGTATATACGTTTATATTCATTTAGTAAAATGCTGTTGTTTTGACATTACAAACAGACTTTTTTACGTGGTAGAGCCATTCTGCAGCTATATTATTTATGTAGTTGTAGCACGAATGGGTCGGCTCGACCGGGGAAGGACCACGCTCTCACAGAATACCAGCGTAAAATAGCGACTTAATGCTGCTGTGTTTCGTATGGTGAGTGTAGAGAACCGGAGACCCTTTTTACTGGAGAAGAGGTATTCCATCTTAGTCCTCACGACTGACAACGCATCTGCATTTTGATTCGCATACGAGGATGGATGTAGATGTCCATGGGCCACCGCAGCCACTTACCATCAGGTGGACTGTGTGCTCGCTTGTCATCCTTATCTTATAAAAAAAAATCTTCAATTTTATTTATTTGTATAGATAACGTGTAATGTTTTATTTTAGATATTACCTTGGAATACCAGAGGGTAAGCCCGGGCAGCAGCATCTATACAGAGTTTCAGCAGAACCGCCAAGACCTGGCACACCACAGAAGCTGCCCTACTGTGTCACGTGCAACTCGCAGGTACAGAATCGATTTAGTTTCTCAAATTTTGTTACCAATTTAATAATAATAATAATTTATTTGATACAGACAACACAGATCCATTACAAAATTAAAATTAAATTTTTTTAAACTATACCTTAAATTTTAATTATAATTATTGGTTAATCAATGATATTATTACATTTTATTAATAACATTTTAATAAATTTGACCATCTACTAAAAATTTCACTACATGCATACATATTACAAATAATTTTGATGAGATTATTCTGCGACCCAAAAACAAAACTTCTAAATCGCGCGATACGGTGACGGATCAACGCATCCAAACCAACGACAATTTATTAACAACAATTTAATTAATGTAATACTAATATTATCGTGTCTATTAAAAGATTTAAGCTACTTGTTTTATGTTAAAGGGAAGTATCACCCTACGTCCCATTGTTGAACTCATTTCAATTTTAAATTCTGATTGATTATGTGACCGGCGGTGATGTCAATAAAACAGGAAAGTCAAGTCAACAGACATTAGAAGTCTGTCAAAACTCATTGCGGCTGCAGACATTTCCTTGCACTAAGCACCTCTCAGAAACGATAGGAAGCGTATGCCTAGGAATGAGACATTTAAATACTGTAACTTTACTTTTCTTCAACAAATTTAAATTAACGACAACGTTGCTAGGGAGTATCGAAATCGATTGGCTTGAGTACACAAAATTTTAACAAAGAGCGTTTGTCTAGAGCCCCTATCTACTATGGATTTCTGCATAGAAAAAGAGTCAATTTGCCTGTCAAGCGAGACAATAAAGACAAATCCTCCCATCGACGGCAGAAGCCGACGCCCAGCAGGTGATTTTATGACAAAGATGATAATGATAATGCATGAAAAAGTTCATTTTACTGCAACAAAATATTTATATATATTTTCATTCTGTTTCCTATCTAGCCGTCTACATCAATTAATTTGGAGTATTACGGCAGTCTCGCTTCATCGGGGGACAGTACGTGGGACAATGACTGGGACGAAGAGCTCCCAGTTACCACACCTACAATCACGAAAAAGAAGAAAAAGCGATATCCAGGTTAACGTTAAAATAAATATTTAAAAGTTATATGGAACATTTATACTCCGCGTCGTAAAACGGGTTTTTAATGTTATGGCGTGAATAAATTGTTGTTTTTCTCATATTCAAATTCTATTCGGAGCTAACCATTACGCAAGAACTCGAAAAAAACCTAAATTATTGCTTTTCGCGGTCTAGTAGCCTTGTGTGTCGCCGAGTTGTAGGAACTACATCCAAAAGTTCATTTAATTTTATTGCATTCAACAACAATATTTAACCTGCCTTCTAAAATGCAGGTTAAATATTGTTACATATATTTTTTTCTCATTTTATTTTCTTTGTTTTTTTTATTTTACATTTTTTTTATTCCTTAGAGAATTACTCGACTACTGATTCCTCCTCATGTACCTGCTCTAGTGATGCTGATTACTACGATTTAATAGATAAGTGTTTATTTTGATTAGTTTGTATATTTTTAAGAAAAAGCTTTCTAATTATAACAATTTATTAATATGATAGGTACAATGAATTGATACATTTTAGGTGTAAAAAAAATATTGATTTTTTTTTTAATTTTGATTTTTAACACATAATTTTTCCTATTATGTTATGAAATGCAATGAAATATTACAATGACGGATATTTTTTGATGGCCTTTTCTGTCTAAAGTATTGGCATTACGTTCTTACTATGTCCACAATTATTTACTAAGTCATACTTTATCATTGGATTACACTAGGTTTTTTAAAATATATAGCATGGTTTAAAATTCCGTTGGCAAATGAAATTACAAATTAATTTGTTAGCTTTATAGTTTCATCAAATTATCTAAAAAATTAGCATCCAAATTACACCTTATGTTTTCTATCCACTGCCGCATATTATCCCGCATGTGTTGTAACAGGCGAAAGAGGAAATAAAACAGGAAATGGACAGGATTTACCTGTTATCAGCTCAAAAATAATAAAACCTGCCGTTGTCATCCCACCTGCCAGTCGTGCGTAGCTGTGAAGCGATATATAATATATCGATGGTTTATACCGTAAGAATTGAAGAAGCCTTCCAAGAGGTTCTAAAGTCCTCCTTCTTTTTTCCCTTTCCTGTTTCAGGCTTCATATTACTTGTACTTTTAAGCCAATAAACCATATTGAAGTGACGCCAAGGAATTAAATCAAATGAAATTAATATCAAAACAATACATTTTTGAAATTTTATCTTTTTATTTATGTGTTGATTTTGGGCCATGTTGAAAAATTATATAATACGGCTTTAATAGTAATAGATAATCTCAATTATACTAGCAATAATAATTTATATAACAATAACATAATTTTACTTGTTGAATATAATTAAATTTAATGTCAAATTTAAAATATCATTTTACCAAAATGTTCTTTTTTTATAGATGGTATACCACAAAATCTGCCGTGTCTTTATTACGAAGCATACTTTAGTCCAACATCTGCGTATTTTGTACTTGAGTGCCTTGGACCGGGAGTGCCTACTTCAAGTTTGCATAAGATAGCTTTACCGGAGCCCAGGTTGCTTATGCATCTCGAGAATAATACCGCAGTTAAGGTAATTTTAGTCAGTCTTTAGATTAATTTAATATGTTAAAATGCTCATTAGAATAACTTAAGATTGTGAAATATGATACTTCGCTTCTTAATACGAGTAGGATTGTTTGTTTATTATTTCTTACGGTTACATAAATTCTTCTTAGTGTAACAGATAATTGAATTAATCCATCGCTGATCGTATTTGTTAGCCGACATCAAAAAGGAGGAGCTGTATGCCCTTTTCTACCGACTTCAAAAAGGAGACGGTACTCAATTTGACTGTATGTTTTTTTATATGTGTTACCTCATCACTTTTTACTGGGTGAACCGATTTCGATGTTTCTTTTTTTTATTTGAAAGCTGTTGCTTAACATGTGGTCACAAATAAATTGATAAATTCTGAGCAATAGTTTTTGAGTTATTCTTAATAATTTATATTGAAGTCGGTTCTACAACATCTTTAATTATTTATTATTTGTATTTATGTAACTATAAGCAGTTTTGATGATACCTTTTTAATTAAATAGCTTATGTGTAACTATTTAGACCACATTAAGATTATGATGTTCCTTAGTCCACTCAAAAGGGTAAAAAAATTAACTTTCGATAAAAAGTAAAAGCCTACTTCAAAGGACAAAAATAAAAATTTCACATACTAAAGTCGGAGCTTTACATTCTTCTTCTTCATTGCGCTATGTCTTAGCACTGACTTAAGAATCTGAAATTATTTTATTCTTTCTAGAATAGAATATAACCATTTTTGTTCAATATGGATTACATGTAATTCTTATTGAAAGTCATTTTTAACTTTTACCACTGGTTCGGACAAAAACCTCTGTCCTGGGAAGAACTAGCAAGAAACCCAGCAGGACTTATTTTTAAACCATAACTTGCAATATAATATTCATACAATTGTTAAGAAAACATTTAGAAACAGCATTTTGGCGATCACTTCATTCTCAGGGATTAATATCAAACAAGTTTTCTTTAGTAGTAAAATGCAAAATAAACCTTTTAAACCTTTTGATAGATAAGGTCAATATATTTTCTGGGACTTCTGTTATATGAAGTCAGCTTTTAATTTTTATCAAAAGTTAATTTTATGGAGTTCTCTGTACGTAATCATGTCAATAAACAGCCTTTCTAAGTCAACGAGTCTTTTGTGGCACCTCGCCGTCGTCGCTTGTCGATCGCATTCGTCGACAAGATGGCGACGATTGCAGTCTAAAAACTTAGTTTTAGACGTTAGTTCAAACTTTAATACAGGAACTACTAACAGACACTGTTTTGATTCCTTTGTCCATGCAAGCACATAAGTCATTTATTGGGATTTAATGAGATATTGTATATAGCGCATAAGCAAATTTAATTAATAGAATCAGGCGTTATTTTGCGGAAATCCATCATATTAAAGATATTAAAAAATAACTGGCTATGATCAGCAGTAGTGGTGTTGGGATTAGTGGTGATGGGGATAGTGCACGCAATTGAGGGAGGGCGGGAGATGCTCTTCACACTAAGTAAGACACATCATTTTCTGCCGACTTCCATAAAGGAGACGGTACTCAATTCTACTGTATGTTTTGTTTTATGTGTGTTACCTCATAACTTTTTACTGGGTGAACCGATTGCGATGATTTTTTCTTTATTTGAAAGATGATACTTCTCGTGTAGTCCCATTTGAATTTGAAGGTCAGATCAATGTCGGTTGTACAAAATTTTTAATTTTTAATTATATTTTATAACGCAGATCTTGGCCAATTATTTTTAATATCTTTAAAAAGCAAATTATGCAACGGCTACAATCATCTATGCCGTCGGAGAAGTGCCATTTATCTGTACACGCTGAATCACTTTTCTCCAAACTTTGGTTTCCTATTTCCTTTTAATTTAAATACAGGAGCGGTTATCAGCAATAGCCTTACCAACGCCAAGAACATTCTCAGTTCAGCTGTCGAGTGGAAATACAGCTAGAGTTAGATTATTGCTGCCGCCAGGCTTGAGGGAAGACGAGGTTACGAAGTACCCATTAGTCCTTAAAGTGTAAGTAGTAAGCATTCACGCCAATTAAAATATTTTTATGAATCCTCAAATTGAAATTGTATGGGAATAATAATAATAAGATATTAGACACAAACGGCCAAATACTCCAACCACATCAGTAAAGATCCTTACTCTGTGCTCAAACACCACTCAATTTTAAGATGTGGTTAAGTCTCGTAAGGCCACAATCATTTTGACTTAAAGGGATAGAGCCGATAGATCACTTAACGGCATCTTAAAAGCATCGTTTTGGGTATCTGGCCATCAGTTTTACAAATTACTATTTTGTAAAACATATGGAATTACAATAGTTGTATATGACTTCGTAGTGTCTTGAAATCAAAAACACTATACATATTACATTATATGATATTCTAAATAATAAAAATCTAATCCTTTACTTTAATCAAGCATCTCGGAAACGGCTCTGACGATGTGGATGAAATTTTGCATTTAGATAAAGACACTTATTTAGATAGTGTCCAAGTTTATCTAAATAAGTGTCATTCCTAAAACTTATATTTTTAACTACAAGCAAAGCTCAGTTACACTGATACTTAAGGACCAAAATTTCGAGCCTTTTCGAGATTTTTAATTTAATTGATTTAGTAATTTATTAAATTGCTTTCATATACCTTACCTCCCTTTAGGCATGGGGCGCCAGGTACTCAACTCGTAACAGAACAGTGGTCATTAGATTGGGGTTCACTCGCCGCGGGTGCTGGGGCAGTTCTAGCTACAGTGGATGCTCGTGGGGCTGGGGGTCGGGGACTAGGTGCCCATCACACACTGCATAGGCGTTTGGGGACAGTAGAATTAGCGGATCAACTTGAAGTCGCTGAGTAAGTTTGGATTCAATTATTTTTGAAGTGAAACTTCTTTTCCAATGTAATGGGGAAGTTTACTACAGTATTAAAAGACAAAAACGTCATGTTTTTTTACTTGTGTACACAATTACACGCATAATTTTTATAGCATACCTCAATGAAATACTGGATTCAAAGGCAGTCTTAACAACAGTGGTAAACATTTTTGATAGTCACAATTTAATAAATTATCTAAGATTGTATATAAAATACAAACTAAATATATTTATATAATTAATAGTAATTATTTATCTGCAGTTGATGATTAATAATATTATCTATCATACAATCCAACACCTCACGGTATAGTTCTCAGAACGCTGGCTGCGTTTCCTCGCTCAATAACTTGGCCTTTTAGCGAGAAAAGAATCAGCCCTCCTATCAAAATGTAATTTTATTTAATCAAAATTTAATTTTTACTAACACTTAATTGCATATATCAACGACCAGAAGAATCACAGATGCGTAACATCTGGTACTGCGATGATAAATTTGCTCATCATAGAGCAATTACTGTGAGGTGGAGAGGTCCATGTGCAAACGTTTACTATCGCACGGGCTTATGATAAATGTATGAATAATCTATGAATCTCATTAAAAGCGAGGACTAATAAAGAATAAATCTTAATACGAAACTGTTGTCTATACGTTACAGCTTATAATGGCTGCAGCACGATTAGTTCGGCTTGACCGGGGAAGGACTATGGTCTCACATATACCAGCGTGAAATACCAGCATACTCCCGCTGTGTTTCATATGATAAATATCAAGAACCAGAAAACTTTTGTACTCAGAATGAGGCATCATAAACCTCAAGAGTACAACGAATCTGGATCTAGATCTGGATGCATTTAATTTTTCATCGAAGAATTAAGTTTCAATCAGTCGAGTACACATTTGTCCCTTACTTCTATAAAAAAAGTAATTATGGGCCTCGTTCGATTCCCAGCGTACTTCTTTTCTTTTCTCTTTATTTCTTCTTTGTCTCTTTATTTAGTAGTACTAGAGGCTTTATATACGTGGTAGAGCCATGGTGCAACTATATTAGTAGTATAGTTGTAGCACAAATGGGTCGGCTCGACCAGGGAAGTACCATGCTCTCACAGAATACCAGCGTAAAATAGCAGCTTAACACTGCTGTGTTTTGTATGGTGAGCGTAGAGAAACAGAGACCCTTTTTACTGGAAAAGAGGCATTCCATCTTAGTCCTCACGGGTGACAACGCATCTGCATTTTGTTTCCCAAACGAGGATAAATGTAGATGTCTATGGGCCACAGTAACCACTTACCATCAGGTGGACTGTGTGCTCGTTTGTCACCCTATCCAATAAAAAAAGGCTGCCACTCGAGAACATCATTTGTACGACAATCGTCGGTTCAAGAAGTTAAATACTATATCATAGTTGCCCAATTGCCCTTTCTGCATAGTAATTCGTTGCACTGTGTCACTTAATCTGGTGCTGGTTGCTTATTGATAGAATAAAATACAATATATAATTTGACTGAATAAGAGTCATTCATTTAAATAAGCTATTTAACAGGTATCTACGTGACTCTCTCCATTTTATTGACGCTCGTCGAGTCGCAGTATGGGGGCAGGCGCATGGTGGATTTCTAGCGGCTCTAGCGCTTGCTAGCCCCTTGAACGTGTTTCATTGTGGCGTAGTCCTCACGCCTATTGTCCGCTGGCGATATTATGGTTAGTAGAAATTGATAATATTATAAAGGTTTAGCAAAAATTACACATTATAAAGGCGCGTCTCCACCAAAAATGTTGACAACATTTATGTTTCCAACTGTTGACAAATCAACAAAAGTTGACGACATTTGTTTCCGAAAATGTTTCAAAATGTTGCAAGAAGCGTCTCCACCGAGGGAACAAATGTCAGCAACAAGCGTGTTCCTTTGATGTCGCCGCCGAAAATGGAAACACGATTCCCGACATTGTTTCGTTTTGTTGCTAAAACTAGGTGATTACAGAAAGATTTATCGGCAACACGTGTTGACAACAAAACTTTGGTGGAGACGCGCCATAAGAGTGACACCAAACGATGTTACGACTGCAACTCTGTACTGTACAGCAACCGTTTCCCCACGTAAGTGGTATACGGACAATGCGATATCGTAAAGAAACACAGAGCACTACAGTGGTTGTAGATTTAATAGTAGATGCTAAAAGTACTGTTGCAAAAGGCACAAGGCTGACCAGATTTGAGTGAATAGCTTTCAGCGGCGGATGGATTTTAACAATTTTGATCACATATAAGTCATAAATGGGGATATCTAGAAAAGTACGATTTGTGGCACATCATAAAAAAGTTGTCCATCACGAGACACTCGGCAGATGTGAAACATTGTAGTTTATGGTAGAATATGTAATTAATGAAAGCCAATTAAGTAATATAGAGGTAAATAAAATGAACTAATATTGTCACTTTATGTATTACTTTATGTATTTTCAACAACAATAATATTAAAATGAAATATAAAGTATAGTGTATACAAGCGGTGAATGTATCAACTATACTATAGTCAAACAGAAAGGCACACGCAGTACACAACTCACTCAGAGAAGCAACGAAGTGTATAGCATACGTGTACGCAAGCACAAGGTAGTCGATAGGGGCACTACGGCATAAGAAGCCGTCATGCCGTTTGCAGTCACGGCATATGAGTCAGTTTTACTACCAAGGTGCGCCAATAGATGTTTGACATCAAAATTCTCTTTCTCTCTTCTCTGATTTCTTTTGTTTTTATCTTTGATGGAAACGTTAGTATTTCTAAAATATTCCATTAGATAATTTAAAATTATTTCAACAGCGTCAGCTTACGCGGAACGTTACATGGGCTTTCCGAACGCGACTGGCAATTACCGTGGCTACGCCGACGCAGACGTCACAAAGCAAGCTGCGGCGCTAAACGATAAGATGTTATTGCTTGTTCACGGCACTGCGGATGACAACGTTCATATTCAGCAGACTATGGCACTAGCCCGGTCACTCTCTGAACAGGGTAGCATGTTCCGGCAGCAGGTAAGTCGGGAATATGTGATTCTTTAATGTTTTTTATTAATTTATATCTCCTGTACGAATTATAGTCTCAAAATTATTCAGTAGTTATTACCGTGGTTAAATTATTTGAGGACGTAACGTGATGACTTATGTTTCTCGAAATATTATGAATTACATTGTCATTTATCTATACAAATAAATAAAATTGAAGTGTCTCTTTGTAATGTCAAAATTACAGTCTTTTACTAAATACATATGAAAATAAATACGGTACTTATAACTAAAATACAATTTTTAAAAATTTTCTCTGTCTGTCTGTTTGTTCCGGCTAATCTCCGTAACGGCAGAACCGATTTTAACGATACTTTCACTGGTAGATAGCTGATTTCATAATGAGTAACTTAGGCTACTTTTATCTTAGAAAAATAATTAGGGGTCCGCGCAAAAACATAAAAACCGGCGAAGTCGCGGGGAACAGGTAGCCCTTAATATATTTTAATTTTGCGTTTTTATTTTTTTTTTATTTTATTGTTTTTATACAAATTTGATATATCTGTCTATTTAAAAAAAATTATTTAGTTGCTAATGAAACTTGTAAAACTTTCAAATACAGATAGATTTTGAATGGTAAATCTCACTGTTTTATGCACATGAATACACCAACCATCAATAATTTATAAAGGTTGATTAAAGTGGATACTGTCTGTAGAGACGGCAACGAACAAATTCGCATGTGAGTGAGCGATGCGAATGTCTATTTAAAATTTATTCATTTATTTTGTACATACACCAGCATACATAGCGTCAAGCCTATAATCCACGAGGGGTTAGATAGAGTTTGAACAGCAAGGGCTCGAACCTCTTTTAGTAAAAAAAAAACTAGTTTTAAATTGAAAATTTTGAAAGATGTGTTAGGTGGGTAACCTATCGCCTTAACAGTTACAAATCTAATATTCCATTAGTCGCCTTTTACGACATGCTTTGCATTTAACACAGTTGGCAAATTCTTTTTCGTCATAAATCCAATATATACACACTATATTAATTTTATAAAAAGATCACATTGTGCTTCTACTTTCACATGCCATGAAAAACCTTGGTATATTAATTTCCTATTCTTATAGATTTATCCGGATGAAGGTCACAGTTTAGCCGGTGTGCGACGTCACCTCTACCGGACTATGTCGTCGTTCCTTGATGACTGCTTTAGGAAACAAGTGCCACCCGAGACGAAGGCGGGATTGCGGAACGGCGGCAACCTCGACTGAGATACGTGGAAGGATGAGGAGCTGTACACTTGGTAAAGTATGTTACAAAGATAACAAAATAACATCACCCAAATATTTTTACTAAGGGGCAGCCTAGGCACTTCTTGTAAAGTCGCAGCCTATAAACGTCTCGGCTGGGCACGTTCCCCCTCTTATTTCTGCGATGGTAAGGAAATGCCTGCCACGCTGACAGTCTTTACAGAGACTAGCTATCTCCGTAGGATGTGCGCTACTACATGTTCGTTCTCTACTCTCACTCTCATAGGAGAGTTAGGAACTCTGACTATTCTGATGGGTGACAATCCGACACAGAACTGTGGAGAGACCAAACGCAGGACTAGCGGCTTTATGCGCTTCTCGGGAAACGGGTACGCAACACCGCCTAATTTTATATTCTTTTATTTCACATCTAAACTATAATTTTTACGTGGTAGAGCCATGCTGCAGCTATATTCGTAGTATAGTTGTAGCACGAATGGGTCGGCTCGACCCGGGTATGACCACGCTCTCACAGAATACCAGCGTAAATAGCAACTTAACACTGCTGTGTTTCGTATCGTGAGTGTGGAGAACCGGAGACCCTTTTTACTGGAAAAGAAGCATTCCATCTTAGTTCTCACGGTTGCTAACGCATCTGCATTTTAATTCTTTATTGAGGATAGATGTGGATGTCTATGGGTCACAGCAACCGCTTACTATCAGGTGGACTGTGTGCTCGTTTGTCACCCTATCCTATAAAAAAAAACTTAGCGTCATTTGAAGAGATCTAATTAGAATTAACAATTTTAATAAAGTGTAAATAATATTTTGTTACATTTTATAAGTCCATAAAAGTGACATCTTTATTCTGTATTTTCAGGTAATGTGTGAAGTAAGACAATTCGACGGAAACACAAAATAAATCAGTAGTACAACATTTCCATATCCCTTTTAAATTTACTACCCTAGTGGGCTCTCGCACATCATACCTGTCTTTGTGATAAATTATTAAATAAATGACTTCTATTAGCTGTAGTAATTAGAAAGAAGCCTTAAAACCTCTTGATGCTGCAGTATTAAGACGTCTTTAAAAGGATAACATAATTTTAGATACAACGGGACTTCCAGGTTATGACGAGTTTTATAATTTTACTGTCAAACGAAATATCTCTGAGAAGGGTAATACGGTGGTTAGTATACCATGTTTATAATAAGATATTTTTCGTTCAAATTATCATGAAAAAGGAACCTATTTCAGACTTCGTGTAGTTATATAGTCAATGAACTTTGTGATCTTAGAATAACTTATAAGGCATTATTGCATTAATTGTAGAAATTGGTACCAATTAAAATGCTGCATAAAAGTGACTGCCTTCCTATAGATGCCTCCATGATAACTCCATGGCACCTTGAAATTTCCTTTATTTGTATCAACCAAAATTCTTAAATTTTCAACTGGTTTTGATAAGTTTGATGAAAAAGTTATTGGTAATCAATCAACCATATTCATATAATACATATTTCATTTCAGTGTAAATGAATACTCTTATGAAACATCAAAACGTATTCAAAGAAAGATATTAAACATTTACCTCATAATAATTTAGTTATTAAGTAAATTTACATTTGTAATGGATAATAATTCACCTATGAATAAATACCTATGACCACGATCCTTGAACAAGTAAAAGTAGACTTTAAAAACTCCATTACCCATAATATATTATCCATAATCAAAAAACCGTTTCTAAAACGATCTTGAGCTGCGTAGTTAAATTCTTTCGCCATTTTTTTCTGATGTGACTAGCGCAATCAGTGATAATCCCTCTATTCATAAGCCATAGTTATCGTATGGCAAAGCGTAATGAGTATTTGACAAATAATTTTAAATATGTAAAGAGTAGAAATTTAAACGAAAATAACAATAATTAATGAGTACGGTTCAAGTTTATCTTCATCATTACAACATTATTGTTACATTTAAAAACAATAACACCAAAACTCACATTATTAGAATGACAAGGTCGTAGTTGAAAAAAAAATCTAGTCAAATTAAATATAAGCCACATCTTTGTAAGATACGTGATTAATTGCTAAATACCTTTGTAAATTATCATTGAAGTATTGCTCATTCTTATAAGTAATTCAAGTTTGCATGTTTCTAGTATCATTATTCGATCACATCTACTTATAGTGTTAAAGTTTTAGTAATGACCAATATTATAGTAAAATATTTTAATAAAATAAATTTTAATAATAATTAGAGCAGATTTTGAATTTACTAAAATTTAGAGCGTTAATAATCTAAAACACATTTTAAACTTTCAAGTAAATTAAATATAAATAGCAATAAAAAAATAAATTACCTCTTAAATTAATGATCATTTCCAATGTTCATGTTTGTGTCGTGTACAATCAAAAACTATTTTAATAATTTGTTTTATCGTTATAACTACAACAATTATTTTTATATATCGTAAAATTCTGTAGACAACTAAGAAGTACTTTTCAGCTGTTATGCTCTGTCACGAAATTATGAGATAAATATCGTTGAATACTGAATTCCATTTCAAATTATGTTTTTAAGACGTGTAATTAAAATGATAATATTTAAAATATAAGACAAGAAACAAAATGTTTCGAGGTGCATTCGCTCTTGGCACAAAATTAGTATAACCTACATAATCGGCATTTTGGGAAAATAAATTGAAAACAAGCATATGAACTTAATTTAATCACAAATATTATAACTATAAAATCGTTTTTGTATTTCTTCAATCATGAAATTGTCTCACAAACAAATATGCAATTGAATCGAGAAGCCAATTTCAATAAAAATCTTACTGACGATTTCATTAGAATCGTTGAAATTTGTACGTTACTGAAACTGTACTCAAACGTAATAATAGAACTACAAATATATTGGAAGCAAACAATAGTTCAGGGCCCATCAAAAATGCCCACTAAAATATATATTATTAAATAAATAAATAATTAAACAAAGTAGGAGAATGTGCCAAAAGTGTCGTTGAATGTACTGAGAATAGTTAAAATGAATCATTAACGTTAGTAGCACCAAAATCCTTTTGTTTTTTAAAAATGTAATAAGTCAGAAAGAGATAATTGCTCTTAATTTTAAGTATTAATTTTAATGTTATAAATTAGTTTAAATTAATTTTATGTTCAAACACCGTTTTGAGAGATTTGGTTATCAAATTCCATTCCAGATTCAAAACACCGTGATTTATGAAAAGAATATTCTAGATATAACAAACTTAACTAACGTACACTCTGATAAATTGGTCTACGATTAACTAGATACAGTTTCGCAATAAGGTTTTTGTGAGCTGTATTAATCGTAAGTATTACAACACATCACCAATTGATCATATAATATGTTGTTCTTATTGGTTCCCATCGGTAAACTTATAGTTACGACTTGTTAAAACTGGAAGAATATATTCACAGTTTCTATAAAATTGTAATGTTTAGCTAACGTTCTTTGTAGTATAAAATAGTATAAAATATCGGGGTATTTTGTACTTTTTAAAAATATTATCGATCCTATTTTTAATTTCCAACTTTAAGGCACATTCTTGAGTTATGTGATTAGCATTTTAAGCCATATGGTACACATCAGTCGAAATTGTAGTGGTTGGACTGTATCAAGAAAGTTCTGCAATGAGGGCCACAGAGCTACACACACACACACACATCCACAACTATTTCTGCCACCAGAGCGGCGCCACTTTACAGTGAGGTAAATAATTAGAAAGATTTCATCACAGCGGGGATGATAATTTCTTAGAAAAATGTAAAGGTTAATGTTTCTTTCTTTTAGTTATATTTTATATTAATTAGATTAAAAATAAATAAACCAAAATGTAAATATATGTAACTAAAAGTAAAAAATAAAATAAAAAAGAGGCATAAAGTACAAAAAGAATTAAATACCAAATCACTGACGCATTGTATTGTGTATAAATATAACACTCTAGAAAGTAATAAACTATTAAATAAAACTAATTTCTCAATTAAGTGACATTGTGTAACAGAAAACTTTACCTCAGTCATAAGTAGCGACATCTGGTGAGTGGAAAATTAGTAGCCCTCATTGTTCATAAGAACTAAAAAGGATAATAAATTAATTCAGTCATTTAAAACTGGAATGGAACGAATCGTTTGTATTTGCATGTTCGTGTTAAGACGTAAACGCACAGATTGTGATTTTGCCTTTCTCGATGTTCTTGGTATAAGGAAATTGTTACGTTATAATGTTAAATATTGTTATTATTATACTGTTGCTTAACATACCCGGCTCTCGAAATTGATTATGTTTGGCTAAATTATTTCAATTTGTAATTATAAATATAAAAGGATAAAGTTGGATTATAAAATGTATTTTCGCGCTTGCTTATATTAAATTAGAAAACGAATTGAAAAATTGCTTTCTGTAGTACTTAATTCCTATTTTTCTGCTACACATCTAACAAAGGTTCTGTCAATTTATAAAGTTAGCGAAAATTGTGATTTACTTCGTCATTTGATTGTCGAAGTGCATTTAGATGAATATTATTTTAATAATATAATAATTTTTACGACTCTGCTAACTTTCTATAATATTTATGTACAAATATTTTGGTAAGTACAGATTTTTCTCAGCCATTAATACCTTTATCTTAGTAAATCCGCGTATCCACCAAAAATGTTGACAACAGTTATGTTTCCAACTGTTTCCAAAAAGCGTTTCCACCGAGGGAACAAATGTTGGCAACAGGCGTATTTCTTTGATGTTGCCGCCGAAAATGGAAACAAGTTTAGTTGGCAACTGTTGAGTTGGCAACAACACTTTGGTGGAGACGCGGCTTAACAATTGTGAATGTTGGATGAATTGCAAATTATGGAATTCAATTCTAGAGAAAAGAAATGTTACTTATGCAATGCTCATAAAAGTGCAGAATAACTGTAACTAATTCATCACATGATACATAAGCTTTCTTAGACATAGATACGTCTTGTTT